GGATGCTACTCTGCATGAGGGGTATGCAAATGCAAGTTGTTGTTGTATGCATATACTTTTCCACTGGAGTCACTGAGTAGTATTGTGCTTCACTCCTGTCTGCAGTTTGGAGCTAAAGTTCTTTCAAACCTTTGTTCAGAATGCTGAATGTGAGTTACGTTTTAGGTGAGGTGCTGCTGGAGGGGGGAATCATTTTGAGATGCGTCTATCACTTGTGAACTTGCTATACTGTGTTTACTGCTGTATTGCTTAAAACACTCTTTAGACATATTAGCAGAATAAGATTGATAGCTACTACTATGTGCTTTTTAAGGTCACATAGACGTAATATGGATCTTTCATACTCTATATTGTATTTTTGTGAAAGAATCCCTCCAGTGAAGCTGCACAAGAAATATGTGGCTATCATTCACTTCTGTGAAATCCAAGTGACACTACTTTTGGGCATCAATTTATCTAAATTCAGTGCTTTCTTTAAGACGATCTAATAAGTTAATTTTATTTAAGAAAATTAGAATATATGTGCCAGGGCAATGTCTGGATGTTTATGGTCTGAGGACCAACCTGGATTTGTAATTTTTGTAATCTCCAGTTACGATTTTTTAAAAGAAATGAGCATTTTTTTATTTCTGTAAGCTGTCTTAAAGCTTGGCTGAGAAGCGTTGTGAGCATTGTTCACAATTCTAGTTGCACATGTCATTGAATGAATGATATTTACCAGGTACTTTCGTGTGTAGTTTTATTAATTACAGAAATGATGGAGCTCTTTGTATTTCTAAATTGGAACACACTTCCAAAAGTTGTAAATTTCTGTTGTATTTTTGGCTTGTGACTTCTTATTTATCAATTAATTCACTGCATTGGTTTACAATAAGGGGGCATGTGATTGGTCTGAAGAGCAGGTTTAGCACAGATAACAGGAGCTATTTCTTTACAGGGGTAACTTAACAGCTGTAATGAGTTACCAAGCAAAATGGATGAGATTCAGACTTATTTAAGAAACAGATTGATGTTGTAATAGTTTGGTGATAGGGATGGTATTCTGGAAGATCAAATGGGCTAATGACGTCTCTTGTGTAACACAGTCATTCACAAATTAGGTTTTGAATGAATTCTGAAACAGTTTGCCTCAAGAATAAGTAGAATATTCTATCATGACATTCATTCCCACAAGTGAAATGTGCTTTTTTAAAATAAAGTTAAGCTCTTTTTTTAAAAAAAATTGTTTTTCATAGACATAGTATTAATATGAGCAGTCAAAATCAGTTCATTGATTCCATCATTGCTAATTCTGCCAAATTCTGTTGCAAAATTTCAGTGTCCTTTTAAACAAGTTACATTTGTTGTAATGAATTCAGTATACTGGCTGGTAAGGAAAGTAATCTTGGTAAATGGCCTTTCAACTTTGGTGCTTGTTACCAGCTAAGTGCTCAAAACACAGTATGTAATGAATAAGTCAAAGTATTTAATGATCTCATCTACGTCATTTGATAGGTTCTAAGTCAGCTATTTATGTAGTCATAAATATAATCATGGTACTGTAAAATGATTACTTGCATTTAACACAGCATTTAACATCTTATCAAGTCAAAACATCATAAAGTGATTTACATGATGAGTTGCTTTAAAAATATTGTTATGTAAGTAAACATGAAAGTGAATCTACACTAACAGTGGCCTAGTAACACACATCTGTTTTTGGTGAAGCAAGGATGAAATGCTCTTCAAAACCTACATTTAATGTATATGAGTTCTTTAATCTTGACCTGAACAGGTAGACATTGAATTTATATTCAGTTGTTTATATCTGTGTGGGAAATGAAATGGAAACACTGCACTGATCAGTCTGGAAAAGGAGCTGTGAACGTGACACCTGGTTTCACTATTTTCAATATGACTGCTTATGTGGAAGTTTTTTGAAATTAGAAACTTAACCAAAGTTTTACCATACCAAACCTTTTCCCTCTTTCTGTGGCAATCTTTTTAAGTTTGATCAGTCTTGCAGAAATAACTAACTATAAACTTTCTAGTTATTGTTGATTTATCAGATTTCAATTCTATCTCTCCATAGTTCATGCATTCCTGTTTTTTATGAGACGGAGGAAATGGAATGGAAGGACTAATACATATCATGGAAAGAATGATGTACCCAATCATTTAATTCATGCTGTTTTGTAATGAGTATCCAACAGCTTTAATTTTTAACTACCAAACCAAAATTTAGCAGAAATGTAACTGATTTATACATTAATTATATTTCAACCCAAACTCCTAATCCTCAAAATTCCACTCAATAATAAACAAACTAAATATTTTATCATTCGTGTCAGTACTGTGTGAGTGTGAACAAAGCAAGTTGGTATGGAACATGAGGGAATGCACCACACCTCCACACTCACATTCCATACCTACGTATTACAAAATAACTGTCACCATATTTTACCAGAATGACTGAATTTATATTTTTCAGATTGCTGAATCTGTCCTAAAATGGCAACTGTAAATTAAATATTTTCAAAAAAAGTAAGTTGCCCACATTGGCAGCTGTGTTTCTTTGCTAAATCACTTATTTGCATGGGTTTGTCTGTGCTGTGATGTATTGTTATACAATTTTTTGAACTACTATATCGAGCTCTACTCGGGTTTTACCTTGCTGATGTGTAATATGTATATCCTGACTAATACAAGAAAACTTGCATAAGTCTTACCTTTATAAATCATATAATTGCATAAGTCGTACATTCCCCTGATTCCCATTCAATTTCCTAACAGAAACACTTTGATTTCTTTGTGCAACCTCCTAACTTGTCATACACTCCATTGTGCCCGTACCTACCGGCTGCCTTGAATCTCAGGAAATAACATCCTGGCCCGTTGACACATGCACACTTAGGGTTAGGGTTAGCTGCATTGAATTTTGGTAAAAGTAGTCTTGATCCGTTGATGCATGCGCAGAACCTCATTTCCAAAGATTCAATGCGATTCCAAAGTTTGCCGCTAAGTGTGCATGCAGCGACACATTGAATCGTGGGAAGTGTAGTCTTGACGCACTTACCTGCTGCAGTGATGAACTATCACATTTACCGACTGCATTAAATTACCTATGCATATGTAGATTATTGATTACATCGGATTTTGTACGAATTGTACAGTTTTGTCTGCAACTCATGCTTTCTGTAAGTCGTATTCACTGTTATGGTCCCGAATGATATGATTTATGCGACTTTTACTGTATATGCAACATGGGCTTATTTATCCCATGCCGGTGGATACAATACAAATTTACATAGCGACTTTCAAGTCAGGAGCATGTCTCGAGGTGCAAGAATAGGGACGGGGGAAGAAATAGTTGAGAGTCTCTCCCATTGAATTCACAGAATATGTATTTATTGAGGCAGGGATAAATTGTTGTATATTCTTCCTGCTATTCTATACACGTGTTGATCAACAGAAGTGGCTTGTGGATGATTTTGTCAGAGGTTTGGGTTGACAGAGATGGTCTGAAGTTTAGCTGACCTCTCATTCTCTTTATGTTGCATGAAGTCTGTGGACATGGTTCTGGTTGTAGTTGAATTGGTAGAGCTTAGGTGTTAGATGCCTGTGGTGTTTTTTTGCATACTTTTTCTTTTCCTGGCTCTAGTCATTTACAAATCAGTTTGATTCTGTAATGAGAGATTAGGGTGGGTACTATGGAAGGATGAGATTAAAAGGGCCAAAGCTGCATTTTCATCAAAACTGCTTGTGATTTGTAATTGAGGACATGACACCTTCTTTCAGAATGTATGCGGACTGTCTCATGAGTGAGATTTTTTTCTCTAAGTACTGCTTAGTACTTCAGCTGCCTTCAGTTCCCCTCGACTTTCTACCCCCTCCTCGCTCCTTCCCTTCCCTCCCCCTGATCATTTCCCCCTGCTCGGGTCCCGACCCAACTGTCCAGTGCCTTGGGACGTCCTCCCGACGTGAAAGGCGCTCTATAAAGGAAATCTTGTTGTTGTTGTTGCTGGGAAGGGCAAGATAATTTGTGAGATTGGAATGTGAATTATTTGCAGTGTTGTTGCTTTTTTAAATTCTACAATATTTCAATTCTGTATGTTTTTTGATTTGTGGGTTCTATTAGTTAACTTGTCAGACTGTCACAAGTGTGACGAGGGCTAATTTAGGTAAGTAAGGCTATCCAATTAATTTCCTTATCCCAAAGGTTATCTGTGGAGCTCCTCGCTGCAATCCCTTTATTTTGCCTCCTCTTTGCCCGTCTTCAAATCACACCTGAAGACCTTCCTCTTCGACCTTCCTTCGGTCACCTTCCCTCACTTTCAGGCTTGGCGTCAAGCCATGTCACTGTTAAAGTACCCGCATGAAGGGCACTATATAAATGTTGGTAGGAAGAATAAATAATTGTGCAGAATTCAAAGTGAAATTGAAGCTTACTCACGTTGTGATTCTGGAATATAGAAGAAGTGTGATATTTGTGTTTTCGCTCATCTTGCTTGGACTTCTGAAGAATTTTCAAAAATATTTTTGTAGTTGTAAGCATAAATAGTGGTATCTTGGTATAAATATGTAGATTTCAGTTTATCCTGTCTTTTAATAAAGACGATGTTTACAAACTTATTTCCAACAAAAATAGCAGATCTTTTCAACACAATTTAGAAACAATGACTCAAAAACCTTAAAACTTCATAATACCAAATATATATTCAGATGAACTAAATTATCAATTATGTATTGAAAAAATTATCACCATGGAATGAGAAAAGATTATTTGGGTCTTCAAGTCGACTTCTTTCACGGATCGTATGCAGTACAATCAGCCTTTTATGGTCTAAATCTCATCAATTCAATCTCCTAAAGGAAAGCTTTGTGTGTATGGAGATGATTGCAATTTTATATTGTGTGTCAGTAATCTACTTTTTAATCGTGGCTTTTTTTAATTGTTCCTTTTCAGTTGTGGCTTTTCTGTTGCTGCAGCTATCTACCGTTCATGCTTTAATCTCTTACAGATGGTGTAGCTACTGTGACATAAACACTCCACTAATTAAAGCTTCAGGTAGCAGAAAGAGAAGGTAAGAGTATTCTAGGTTACCTGAATATTTTTTTCATGTATAGCCATAACCGAACGTTCAATGTTTTTGTATATCAAAAATGTCTTGTATTGCTTAGTTATAACAAACCAAACTTTGCTGTCAATGAATTTTAATAGCCCACATAGTTTTCCAATTCCCTGAGTAACAAAGTGAAGTGTGGGATCTAATTGGACATTTATTTGGTTAATATTCGGCATTCAGGAAATAAGACCATTACATGTCTGGTTCCAAAAATGAGCACTAGAGGGCAATAATGTCTGTACTCTTTGGCATTATCGAACCTATTATGGTAAAATTTCAATATATAAGGCTGCCAGAAGGTTAAGTTTAGCAGAAGCTTGGTAACTCGTTATGGTTCAGAGTATACAATCCCAATCAAATTATGTGACAAATGTGGAAAATCTAAGGTGTGAAGCTTAAAGGAAACTAGACGTATTTTTGTGCTTTTGTTTCCCCATCTTACATAAGGCAAGAGAATGCATCAGAAATGTTTCATATATAGAAATGTGGTAAGAAAATATTTTAATGTATTAATATGTTATGCAATATGCAATAATATGCAATAATAATTGCATTATTATTATGTTTCAATTTCTCAGATATAGTTCTCCATACAGTTAGAATTGGCTTGAAACAGTAAACACAGCGTGTTCATTTTAGGTGGTTGATTTGATTAAAAAGCCTGTGTGGGTCGATTATTCCTACTGTTGAAAAAGTGTTGAATAAAATATTGTTTACTCTGAATTTCTTGGGTGGGGGTGGGGGATAATTTTCTTGCCCATCAAATGTTTTCTCCCACTCCTAAAGGCTGATTCATGTTGGGTGTAGTTCCACAGACATCATTTACTTTCCATTATTTCACCCAAGTGTACACAGTGAATTTTATCAGCTCTTTGTTGTTTTATTTAACTGGAGAGAATATTGTTTCCAAGCCAAATCCTGCTCTCATTCAGCATCCACATGTATGCATTGTATTTAGAGGAAATCCTTAATCTGGTAGCCTTTATTTTGTTCAGTTGATTAGAAATATATGATAACGTTTTCTAAAAAGAATATTTTTTCAGTATGATTTGTTGTCGTTGAGAAGGACTTTTCCAGCTGCCCCATTTGATTTGACACGACACAAATTGATCAACATGAGTTAAAAGTGACTGCAACATTTGCATTATATTTTTAGTAATATTTAAGAGAAGCAAAGTCATGGAGAGTATTTTTCCAGCTCTGTCACACAACAGAATTGTTGATGAAAAATGTATTTTATCTTTGTGTTAGATAAAAAGTTAATGGTAACAAATAAATTCACAAAACTTCATAAAATATTTTATTGGTAGGGAGATTATATTTGGTGCAAAATATGATTCTTCNAAAAAAAAGATATGGGCATTCCAAACGTACATTGGCATATATGCAGACTATAAAATTGTCTTTCAGTCCTCGCTGGTAAAAGAAAAGCAAATCTTGGCTTTTAAGATGTAGTGATTATTCTTCAAATTAAGGTGTATTACACATACCATTTCTCCCCCTATTTCTTCCTTGGGAAAGTTGATTTACGAGATATACTTTTTCTGCTAATTTGGTTTGGTTGATTGGTTGTAACCAGTTCACAATTTTTTTAAAGTATAATTTGCTTACGTGCGCTTTAAGAATGTCATTACAAATGATCAGGATGTCATGCCCAATTAAATGTTTTCAAAGAGTAACTTAAATGTAATTCTGTTAAAATTTGTCACAATTAGCGAGCTTCAAATAATAATGGAGTTATTTAGTTGCTAAATGTAGTTAATTTGAGAATGTGCACTTATACATTATTAGGAAATTTGCTACATTTACCCTATAAAATAAAATAATTCCTAAAAGAGTTGCAAAGTCAAATTTGTATAATTTAATTGTAGTTATAATTGGAGCTACAATTGTTAAAATAACCAATTGGATTACCTTTGCATATTCCCTATTGCTATGTTGTCAGATTTTCAATTAATTTCCCACTTGTAACATACTGTATAAATTTCTTGCAAAATATGATCTTAGCAGTAAGTCATAATACAGTTTATCATATATTTACATCATGGAAATTAGCATTACAGTATTTCCTATCAATAGTTATGCCGTCATTTGAATCTCCTCTAACCCTCTTCTAAAACTGCCTTTGTTCCACAGAGTTTGTAAAAGACTGTACAGAGTAGATTGCTAAAAATTGTAGGAAGGGCTTGGTCAGACATAATATCTGTAGACCTCAAGCCTTCAGATAAAATCAGATTAACATCATGCCCATAGAATTGTATCATTGAATTTGTGGAGGTGCATGTCGTCCTGAAATAATGAAGGCTCCATTGGAGCATAATGCGACTGGAGCATATCCTTTGCAGGAGTTTAACAGTTGACTTTTATTGTTCAAATATTTCAAAGAGGTTTGCTGAAATGTAAGATACCATTGTCCTTGTGATAAATTAAAGGTGATTAAGGGCAATATGTCAAAGTCAATGCATCAGAAATGACCACTTCCTATTGTCGATGGGTAGACTATTATTAAGAGGCACCATACGGAAAATCCTTTGTAACTTAAAAACATCAAGAGTAAAACTTTGTGATTTACTTGAGCAGCTCAAAGGTAATTTTTTTAATCTAAATAAAATTCTGGAAGTCAGTAGTAACCTTGAATTTAAACTTTGCAATTAACTTTTAATTAGTATTGGTAACATTATCATTTCAGTACAGTGGGAAAAAACATTCTGAAGGAACATCATAGGTAAATATAATTATTTGTTGTCAGTAGCTCACTGGGGGCTGGGGGTGTGTGTCAGACATTTCAGACACATTTTGCGTGCTAGTTGGAAATTGAAATGCGACAATTAAAGGTTCTTATACAGACAGCTGTGGGTTGGGTTGCAGTTGCTGACAGATTTGGATTAGAAGGTGTTTTGCTTTTAAAATGGGCTTTAAAAATCCATTGTATCAAATGCTGTGCTGCAGAATCATTCATTTAAATGAGTATCAAGTTTAATGAATTCTACGGTTGTATGCATTAAGAATGCAAAATATATGTTTGAAAGAAATCTTTTTAAGTCACTTAAACGTATTGGATTTTTACAGATTTTTTATGCAGTTGAACTGTGTTTTCTTAAGCTTGAATAATTGTGTTTCTTGAATATTTTTGCTTTAACAGTATTTATTGGATTAAGAAAAGAGAAGATTCCTTTGTCAAAACCAAAGATGGACATAGAAGAAAAAAAATACATTAACAAGGAGAAAGATGATGAAATGGTAAAATAAAACATTTGCTAATGTCGGTTCAAATCTAAAGTGTTTACGTTCGAGGTTTTTTTTGTTGTTTTCTCTTCTCACCCCACTCCATACTGTCTGAAGCTTGTGACATAGACTGCAGTTGCTTCAATTGTAAATCAAGAATTGGGAGTTAAAAATTCTAATTTTTAATCCGCAATGAAGCAATTGACGACAACTCATCTTTTTCACAATATTTTTATGTCACCAGCTTCAGACAGTTATTTAAATAGAAATTCATATTTTTCAGGGTTATTAAACATTGTCTGTTGTGCCCTTTCAACCTGAAAGTTGGTTATTTTTGCAGTTCAAAATGTTAAAAAGTTTTTTTTCAAAAAAAGTAATGGTGGGAATTCATATTCCTCAATTTTGAGAAAATTGGGAATACTGATGAATACCAATTTTTACTAAATAAAATCAGAAATTGGCAAGCCCAGTTTCAATGAAGTGTCAACTTCTCTCCCTGAGTTTATTTTGCCAAATTAGTTACTTTACGGATTGCCATAAATGATACACTGTTTGTGTGATTGCCAGTCACCAAATTGTACAAATGAGTTTAATTGGCTGGAAACTTGCCACATCTGCTAAATGTATTTAGGTATCTGAATGTGTTCAAAGGTGCCTATAATGTTGCACTATATTATTTGGATGTTGTCCAACTTTTGAATCATGTAATATTGCGTTTTATATCCAGGAAGTTGAAAAAGGGAGAATTCGAACTACGAGTGCTTGCTTGAAATGTTCTCCATTTCATGCACGTGTCACAGTTGAGAATAGATGTAGAAGTTTCAAAGCTACATTACTGCAATTTACGTCGAGTGCTGTTTAGAGTTGGATATCAATTTTAAGAATTCACCTACTGTGCTGTAACTAGAATCCACAATAAGTAGTTGGTGGTTTAGTCCATTTCCTACGCTTGTAACACTTCACATACAATTCTGCTTGTGAAATGCCAGAACAAATTCCTCAAACACAAATATACCTTACATTTGCAACTATCCAACAGATCATTGGTTATCTCTGTCTACTGCAGGATATTTCTTTACTTCCTTGCTTTTGTAAATGTGCTCAGTTAAATGCACCCTCTACTGTCTGCCAATATGTGCTTCAAAACCATCTTCAGAAGACCATGCCCATCCTGTGGCCTCAAAGTTGAATTGTCTGTTTAGTGCCAAATTCAGAATATGTTCATCTTGAATTTGTAGCGCCTGATCATCCTGAGGCCCTAGACACAATGGCTTACTCTGAAATGTAATAACTATTGGTGATGTAAGCAATTTTAGCACCTTGTCTGTGCCAGCAAACTCCCCAAAACAGCGCTGCTGACAAACCGGGCTCCTGCACTTAAATAAATACGTCGTCTTGGTCATCAAATCGCTGCTGACATTAATTCCTGCATATTGTTCTTATTTGAAAAGGGTTTAACCAATCTTAATGCAGTTCCTAGTAAATGTGTGCAAATGATTGAGCTCTCCTGAGCAATGAGACAAAGGTGTAATGAGGTACATGAATGAAGACTTGGCAGGGGCTCCAGGGAAGCTGAATGTTTCACTCGCATTCACTGGGAACTGCATTAAGGTGAGTGAAATAGATCCTTGTTATTGACCAATGATTTAACCTGGTGCAGGAGGTTTATGGATACAAACCATGTCGCTGGAAGTTGGTTCTGGTTGCAGTTGGTGTCGTCTGCACTGGGGGCTTCCTGCTGCTGCTTCTCTATTGGATGCCTAAGTGGAGTGTGAAGGCAACATGCATTCCAACAACTCTCAAAGAGGCTGAGGTTGTGTTATTGAAGAGCACAGTAAGTAGAGTTATTGGTACTTAGAATCTGTTTCATATATAGTACTCACTTGCAGTAAGGAAAGACAGTTTTGGCTAATTGCTGATCTTCCATGAGTTTGTGTTCTATTTTGATGCTCTCTACCTGTGTTTTCATATAACAAGTTGTAACTACTCATGTTGAGAGAGAAGTATTTAAAAAGGAATCAAATTAATGTTTAAAGATCAGGTGTGAAAGGATGTGAGATTTGGTATTAGAATGATTACCTTCAGTAGATAATTTAACACCATTTTTGACTTGAAAGGACCGAATGGCCAGCTCCTATACTATTATTCTTATGAATCTGAAGTTTAATAACATTATGGTAATTTGTCATTTTCTACTGAAATTAGATTTTTGTGAAGTTTAACACACCACGATATATCAGAGGTGAAATTGTGACAGATTTAAGAAGTCCACATCCTTTAAATAAATAACCACAATTTTGTGAGTGATTAAGATTTATTTTATAGTTTTAACCAATGCTTTTTTGAAAGACGTCTTCCTGACACTATAGGCGCCATATAAATGCAAGCTGTTGTTGAAAGAAAAATGTATTTTTTCCAGGATGAGTTTAAATCCTGGTTTCGTGCAAAAGTTCACATATTACTTTCTCCTGGCACTGATCCTATGGTGTGTTTGGAAGCTCAAAGCGATAAATCAATGGAAAATGGTCTTGCATTCAACAAAGCGGACTATATTGTAGATAACCAAAAGAACCTATCGCGAAGAACATCAGAAAGTGAGACAGTGCAGGTAAGAAATCTGCCACATCTACAAACAAAATTAGAAATAACAGGTGGGGCATTTTTTTTTGTGAGAGATCAGCTAGGTGTCTGACACATACAGAAACTCATCACCATGCTTTGGAGTATCCAAACCAAACTGAGAATTCCAATCATCCCACCGACACATGGAAATCCCAGAGATAGATTGTTGGAATAGAATGTGCACTCTCTCCCTGGAGGTACGCATCCTGGTTTACTCATTCCGGAAAGTATTAGGCGCAGGTTGGCAGTAGTCATGCCTTAGGGACCTCAGAGTGTGAGTTGGGGTAAGTCCTGGAGTCTAACCAGGTTCAACCAAATACCTTGCCATTGATATCACTGTCTGTCAAGCGTTCCCGCTGCTTGTCCAGCTAGGACCACCCTACCCATTAGAATATTTAAATAAAACATGAGAACCAGAAGATCAAAGAATAAAAATCACAAAGACAGAATTCACACAGTATGAATATGCGGGACTGATATTGATCAATCTTGAGGTATTGCTTAACGCTTTTTTTCCTTCTGTGTGTTGTTAACAATGGAAAAAAGTAAGACTCCTGACTATAGTGCCGGTTGAATATTTGCCGAATGTTGTGAAGACATAGTTGTGTCTGGGCATGCAGGGCAGGGATGAGCTTCTCGGAATTAATGATGCAACAGGTGGAGAAGATTTCTAAAGATGTGCTGAACAGTTGGTAGTGTTGGATGGTATGCCAGCTGACCTGAGGCTTAATAAGGCAATGGTTTAGGATGATAGATCTAACAATGCTTCTAGGGGAAAGGACTGATATTTCAAAATAGAAGGTCCAGCAGTTCTTTCACTGTACAGTGTTTTGTCAATGTGCTGCTGTACACCTCTATTATTAAGGTTTAACTGATAAAGAAACAGGACGGCTGGGAATTTATACATTGTTCTAAAACCCAATATGAGAAGTCTGAAAGTAGATATCTTGATTAGCCTTTGCAGTGCATTTGCTTTATAACATACCTCGATACCATTCACTTACAAAGCACGGTTGTGCTTTGTTCATTGCACTTACCCATAGCACGTCCACATTTTGCCAGCTGTAGTCAGTTGCTCATGGTTTTAGCTTTGAAACTTTTCTGAATTTTGTATTAATATAACTGTTACTTTTTAGGTGCGCTATTTTGTACATCAAAGTATAACCTACTTCTGGAATGACTTCTCTCAGAACTTTAAAGATTTAAAGTAAGAACATTTCATTTTTGAGCTTCACTTTTAAATTATTTGAATATATTTGTGTATTTATTGCTTTGAATTATGCAAATAGATAATCTAAAATCTTCTATGCTTTTATTATTTGAATCACTCACCGATGTGACTGAATGACTTAACTTTAAATTTCTATTCTTACTCATGCACATTTATTACATTTTTTGCATTAATCAGTTTTTTTTACTGTCACTTCCTAGGGGTCTAACAGAGGGAGTTTCATGGTCTGTTATTCATGACTACCACGGTAAAGGACTGAGTAAAGAGCTTCAGAATTATCGGTAATATATGTATGAAATCAATTCAAAATGTTGCTATATTATGTCACTAATCCCCAGTTTCCCTAACATTTAAAGATCTCAAAGATAAATGAATTTGATAGTTCCTTTTTAGTATCACTTAACATACCCACTTTAATGTATGCTGTTTTTTCATGATTTAATCTAAGTAATCCATTGTGAATTTATGATCGTAAATGAATTGAAGTTCAGTATTTATATAGTATCACACTAGTGCACTAGTAATAATGCCCATTATCCCCCACCACCCCACCGATGTCAATCTGGACTAGTCAATCCAGGTTGACATGGGGGTTGACTTCAAGATGTTGCCCACAAAACAGTTCTTGTGAGAAATAAAGTTACACAATTGTTTTCAATACCTGTCCTCATTCAAACATCACTCCAGAATAGGCCCTTTACAGCGGAGTATGTTTCTATTTGTGGAAACTCTGAAATGTTATTTTGTTATCGCTTCTCTGCATTATTTCGTAGGGGCTATGATGGTGGTATTTTCACTATTGAGCTGTTGTGGAGTCCTGTAGCTCAGTGGTTAGAGCACTCGCTTTGCAAGCGAGAGACCTGGGTTCAATTCCAGGCAGAGGGCGAAACCTTGGGCAAGTTTCCTTACTCCACACAGAGCCTAATAATAATCCCTCCAAAACCAAAAACAATAATTAATTTGGTCATTTTCAATCTACGACTGTTTGTGGGACATTACTGTGCGCAATTGGCTACTGCGTTCACCCACAAATATACAGTCAATTCACTTTACAGTGTGTTCTGTGAAGCGCTTTGGGACGTCCTCCCGACGTGAAAAGCGCTATATCAAATGCAAGGAGTATTATTATTATCCAAAACTACAGTAAAACTCACATAAGTCATATCAACTGGGACCATAACGTAAAATATGACTTACACAAAGTCCAAGTTGCAGGCAAATGGTATAAGTTGTATAAAATCCAATTTAATCAATAAAACTACACTGCACATGGTCCAACACTGCCTTAGACATGTAGCTTTAAACACTTGAGGATCACCAAAAAGTGTTCAACTAAACATTGAGGCTTGTATAATCATTCAGGCACACACCATTTCCACCATAATAGAGACAGCCAGGGTATGTGGACAAAACTTTAATTAAAAAAGTAGGATCAGGTGATTAAAAATATATTTAAGCTTATTCCTAATAGTAGTATACTTTAAAATGAATGTCCTTGTAAATTGGTGATTGGCTGTTTATCTGAAAGCAATAAAGCCTGATTTCCTTTTGATATTGTATATTTTATCAAAGTAACTTTTAAGCTAGAGATCCTTATAATGTACAGTTTTATGCAAAATTATTCTTGTATTAAATGATGAATTTGTTTCTGTGTAGAAAGCTGTTTTTTGGTGTGAATGAAGTTGAAGTCAAAGTGCCTTCAGTGTTCAAACTTTTAATTAAAGAGGTGAGTGGTACAAAAATGCGTTGTAACGTTATGCGTTATAATGGCTGCTACATTTCTCCCACAAGATACAGTCAATTCACTTTATTCTATGAAGCGCTTTGAGACAGCTTGAAGATGTGATAAGGCACTATATCAAATGCAAGGATTATTATATATTATAAGTGATACATATTATGTTCATCGTTTGTGGTTTTTAGGACTGCATGTGATTTCAATATTTGTTGTGTAAATATGTACAAACCTTTCAGTTTGATCAATGTTTGAATGTGAGTCACAGAGATAGCAATATGTTTTGGAGGACAAATAATTGATACTTTGTTCTTTGTTTTTAGGTACTCAACCCTTTCTACGTATTTCAACTATTCAGTGTCATTCTTTGGTATTTTGAGAGTTATTATTACTATGCTGTGGCAATTGTCGTCATGTCATTTATTTCCATCGTTACCTCACTGCATACTGTCAAAAAGGTAAGATATGTTTGCAGTAGCTTTTACCATACCAAAATAAGTCACTGCAACTTTTTTTGAGCTGTCACAAATTTTGGAGACGAGAAATGAAACCGATTTTTTAATATGTCAAGTGATTTAATATTGAGAACAGAATTAGAAGAATATTCTCAACTTAGTCTTATTATTTTGTGTGTTTTTCAATATTTTTTCCAGCAATATGTTATGTTGCATGACATGGTAGCAGCTCACAGTGTTGTCCGCGTTTCAGTATGCAGAGCGAATAATGGTAAGTGACTTTCTAACTTGCTTGAAGAGGTAATGATAGCGCATGTAATTTTGAGGTTAAAAAAAATCTGCTGATTGCATGCTTGCTGCAGATAAGCAAACAGACAGCTATAATGATTTGCATTTATAGCACATTTCATGTAGAATAAACGCATCAAAGTGCTTCCCAATGATGATGGGTATCCCCAAACAGTAGGAAGGAGAAAAAGTTTGAGAATTGTGGATGAAAAACAGATTCAAAAACAACCGTTTATAAGAGGATTTTGAAGGCACAGAAAGAAGTTGCCACTGAAATAGATACAACGATCCTGCATGATGTTCATTTAATAATGCTAATGTATGATGTGATTTCTTTAAAAATGGTTTAACATCTAGAAGGAAACAAATTTTATTATAATAACATAGTGTGTAACTTTTCTTTCAGAAATGGAAGAAATTTTGTCCACTGATCTGGTGCCTGGTGACGTTGTAGCAATTCCAGCTAATGGGACCATAATGCCTTGTGACGCATTGCTTCTCAGTGGCACTTGTATTGTCAATGAAAGCATGTTGACAGGTAAATATTAAAGCAACATTGAAGTGTTTTGCTTTCCACATTACTGTCAAGGTGTTTAGAATAGATGTGAATTCCGTTGTTTTTTTTCATAAAGGCGAGAGTGTTCCTGTAACAAAAACCAATTTGCCAAATCCAGTTGAGAGTTCGAGAGGACTGGAAGAGGATGAAATGTATAACCCAGAAGAGCACAAACGACACACACTCTTCTGTGGTACCAATGTAATCCAGACACGATTTTATACTGGAGAGCTTGTTAAAGCTGTTGTTGTCAGAACAGGTAAGGTTTTCTGAAAGACTCACAAAAATTATAATAAAAATTACATACAGGTAGTTTTATGTAGATGTTATTGATATGAAATCAAACATTAATAATTATGTATGTGTTGTATTCAATTTTTTTTTGAAGGTTTTAGCACTGCAAAAGGGCAACTTGTACGCTCGATCTTATACCCAAAGCCAACAGATTTTAAACTGTACAGAGATGCCTACCTCTTTCTACTCTGTCTGGTTGGTGTGGCAGGGTTTGGATTTTTGTACACGGTTGTTAACAGTGCTTTGAATGGGGTATGCTCTCTATTTTGAATCCTTGGTTAATTCAGTAAGGTGGAAACTGCATGTTTTAAGTAATATGTAACAAACATTGTTAGTTTAATGAACTCACAATGCTTTGATTGCTGTAATATTAATTCTTAAAGCACCAAAATGGTTTAACAAATTTAGAAATTTTTAATGTTAATTTATTATTCTGTTTTAACTGCAAAGTACTTGACGTCTAGAAGACGTGAAAAGCGCTATATCAAATGCAAGGATTGTTATTATAGCGAAGTAAATTTATCTAGAGATTAAATTACTTCTATATTAACACTGTAACCAGAAAATTTATATATATGTATTGATGCTACATGTTTTTAAAAAATCTATCACTGCTTCTTCAACTGAAAAAAAACTATTCTTTGTTTGGTTCAGGTAACAGCTAGTACAATCATCATTGAATCGCTTGATATTGTCACAATTACTGTTCCACCTGCTCTTCCAGCAGCAATGACTGCTGGGATTGTGTACGCACAAAGAAGACTGAAGAATTTAGCAATTTTCTGTATCAGCCCTCAGAGAATAAATATTTGTGGACAGCTGAACCTGGTCTGTTTTGATAAGGTTAGTTCCAAACTGAAAATCTCATATTCCATCAGTGCTTCTACAATTATATGGGAGTTCATAGTTAGATTTGAAGATTACTTTTGTAGTATCTTAAGTGGCAGAATATGTTGTTTATATAGGCATTATAAAGAAATTCTTAATGGAGAGGGGAAACTAATTATTAATGTACTAAAATATCTTGCTTTATCATTAATTGATCCTTTTGCTTAAAAACATAATGGTTATTATAAAATTGAACTTGTATTTGCCAGCCACTTAATGTTAACTTATTATTCAAATTCAGTTATAATTGAGTTAAAACCATTTGGAGCCTTAAGGCATGCAGATAATTTGCAGACAAACATTCCTTACAATAAATAGCTGCCTGAAAGGATTTTTAGTGTTTGATTTTGAAAGTTTTGTTTTAAATTCCTTGCCTTTAGACTGGAACGCTGACTGAAGATGGCCTGGATCTTTGGGGCATTCAAAGAGTGGAAGATAGCAGGTTTGAAATATATCGCTAATTATGCTATTTTACTTGATTTCTGACTCCTGATTTAGTCCTATTGTGTAGACTGATAGTTTTTCTCCCACCCCCCCGAAAAAAAATGATTACTCAATCCAAGAGTGTTTGTGGGACAATGCTGTGCGCAATTGGCTGCTGCATTTTGCCCACAAAATACTCTTTATAGTATATTCTGTGACATCTCGATAATGTGATAAGGCGCTATATCAAATGCAAGAATTATTATATTATTTACATGAGCACAAGGTAAATTTTGTGGCAATGGCCAAATATGCAAAATTCTAGCAATGCTTACATTTAAAGAAAGTAACATCATCAGTCGGCTGACCCCCAAAAGCTAGTAACTGCCTTTATAATACATTTCAAAACAAATGAATACGTTTTCTTCTATTTCAGTTTTCTACCATCAGAGCCAAGCCTTTGTAAGGAGAGTTTAGTGAAGTCTCGGTTTGTGGCTTGCATGGCAAGCTGTCAATCTCTTACTAAAATTGATGGCCAGTTGTCTGGTGACCCATTGGATTTGAAGATGTTTGAAGCAACTGGTTGGGTGAGATTTGTTATTTTATAATAAAAGGAATGAATGTTTGACAAAAAAACTGAGTGATTTAGCAGTAAATTGAGTGGGATGTTTTCAGTGTTTAGAGGTGTAAAAAGTACTATTTAATCAAAGGTTCTGATGGAGAACTTATTGCTTTAATGAAGTTATTCAAAAGATTTTAGTTTCTTATCAACTGTCAACTTTTTTTTGTTTGGTATTTATGGTTGACAGCTTGCAATACAGAGGAAGTTGAGATATAATCATGAGATTGCATCCATATGCTTATTTTGGTAGCTAAGTAACCAGTTTAGAAATTGTATTGAAAAGGTTACACAATCTTTTAAAGGTTTTTGAGGAAGCAACTGAGGAAGAGACTGCATTACATAATCAAATTATGCCTACTGTAGTTCGACCTTCCAAGCAGCTTCTCGATGAGCCCACGGCAGTACCTGATCATGAAATGGTAGGTTTTTTTTTAAAAAGGAAAAATCAGCAGGTTTAACTTGTTATGCAGAAATGTTTAAAGTGATATAATACACAGATTCAATCAGAATTGTCTCAGTGAAAATATTAGCTTATTTTTTTCTTGGTGGCATCTCACCAAAGCAACAATGTGACCTAGATGACTCAATTCCCCATTTACAAGTGCAAAGCGTTTTATTTTGCTAGGTTCGATTTGTATCTCACTTATATATTTTCCACAGTATACACTTTCCTCTTATCATCTGTCAACTTTTTTTTGTTTGGTATTTATGGTTGACAGCTTACAATACAGAATACTAATTGCACATGGAATTAGTCAATTAAGCAAAGTTAGTCTTTGGGTGGTGTTATTAATTCATTGTCTTTTCAATTTCCTCTGTACATGGCTTGAGTTTACTCAGGTAATACATGGAATATGCATTCATTTGCAGAATGTAGGCTCCTCTGCCTAGGAAGTCACAACTTTTTGAAAAAAAACTTAAACGTTTGAAGAGGTTGACCTTACAGTCAACTTTTTAAAGCATTTGAATGTATTTTACAAGTTTCAATTATGTAACACAAAAGAGTCTAATGTGTTTAAGGGAGAAAGGAGTATGGTATATTTATGGCGATCTTAATTTATCTTTCAGGAACTGTATGAGCTTTCAGTAAGTACAACTTTGTCAAGTATCAAAAATCCATTTGTATGGTAATACTGTTTCTGTTCTGACTATTGAATGGTGCTCTCTCTAGCAGGCATCATATGAGATAGGCATTGTCCGACAATTTCCATTTTCTTCTGCTTTGCAACGGATGAGTGTTGTGGCTAGAGTTCTTGGTGAGAAGCGTATGGATGTTTACGTGAAAGGTGCGCCAGAGACTATAGCTGATCTATGCAAGGTTGAGACAGGTAAAGTACATCATTTGGCTATGTTTCATTATGAACAAAATAATTATTTCTTCTGTTTCAAAATGGCTAAACTAATGCTTGCTTGTGTTGATTGAAGTAGTCTTACATGTAAAGAAATATTTTGGTCAAATGTTTTTTTCTGAAGTGTGTAGCCTTGGCCATTTACAAGTTTAGTGTGAAAAGCAAATAGAATTGTACAGTGCTAATGATTCTGTTTTTTTTAGTTCCTAAACATTTTTCAAAAATTCTGGAGGATTACACTAAACAAGGCTTCAGAGTCATAGCACTTGCCCACAGGAAATTGGAGTCTAAATTAACTTGGCACAAAGTACAAACTGTCAGCAGGTAAATAAACTACTTGGATGTCATGTATGAAGTTGAACATAATGGACTCCTGTCTATTGATGGCAAACATTACATTGTGACTTGCTGACTTAAGTGAAACATAATATTAATATAATTAATGAACACCCAGGGGCTAAAGGGGATTGGGAGTTGGGCTATGAAGGAACGACCTAAAAGACTGTCTTCCTTTCATGATAAATGAATCACTGAGATCACCATCTTCGAAGTTCCACTTATACGAAAGATGGTATATAAATGTAAGTGGTTTTGTACTAGATCTAAACTATTCACTTTTTTAACTCTTAACAGAGATATCATTGAAAGCAACCTGGAATTTTTAGGGCTGATTATTATGCAAAACAAGCAAAAGCCAGAGACCCCTGGAGTCCTTGAAGAGCTCAGGAAAGCTAATATTCGTACTGTTATGGTCACAGGTGATGTATATAGTTTTTCTGTTTGGGATTGCATACAAAGGAATGCTATTTAAGCAAGCTACCAGAATTCAGTTGGGACCTGGGCAATGCAGCATCAGAAATAAATTTTGATGGGGTGGTGGAGTAAGAGGTGCCATGTAACTTGAGACTTAATATCCTAACTGGTATCAAACTGGGGATGCAGTCTGAATTTTATGTATTCGACCTTGCCTTCTGGTCTTCTCTGCTTTCATTTATGTGGCCGTTCACTTAAGACATATAGGATTTAATTGGCTTTTGTTCCTGCTGGGTCCGATGAGCTCTATAGAATCATAGTGGCAACAGGAAATGCTGTGTACTTATCTGCAGAATGCTGGATTGGTTGTGTTCTCATCAATACACTCTAGTCCTATCATTGAAGGGTATGAAGTGATTATTTTATTGGAGGCATTCAAAGCGTTGTGTTGTGCATTAATGCATGACTTAATTATCCCGTTACAATCCTGTACTAATGATGCTTTGTACCCTACTAGGAGATAATATGTTGACAGCTGTTTCTGTGGCCAGAGACTGTGGGATGATTCTGCCTCTGGATAAAGTAATCATTGCAGAAGCACTACCTCCGAAAGATGGACAGGCTGCAAAAATAAATTGGCTTTATGCAGATAAACCTTCAAAAGAACTTAAAGCATCGACTGGAAACTCTGAGGTCTGAAACTTATTTGACCTTCATTAGCAGTACAAAAAGATTTTAAGATTGTCTGCAATAGGTATCAGAAGTGGAGGTAGATACTTGGGAAGTAAGAGTATTCAGGGATGTTGGTAAAAGGTAAGAAATGGGATTAAAATATCTGACACAATCTAATTAATTGGTGGAACAGTCTCGAGGTAAATGCCTTATTCTCTTCCAGGATGCGCATGTTAAAATAGAGGACGAAGGCTCTGGAGATGGCCTCCGTCAGATGAAGTGCTATCACTTTGCAATGGATGGCAAATCATTTTCTGTTATAAATGAACATTTTCAGGAGTTACTTTCAAAGGTTGGTAAAGGGTGTTTTGACATCTGATATTCCTGATAATTTTAGATCAGGGCAATTAATGGAGGTGGTATAAAACTAAGAAATGGCCTTCTTTTGATTTAGTTGTTGCTTCGTGGGACTGTATTTGCTCGTATGGCTCCTGATCAAAAAACCCAGTTGGTTGAAGCATTTCAAAATGTAGAGTGAGTATTTCTTTAATAAAATTTTGGAAGATTAGGCAAATGATCCAAGTGTTTTGATAATTCACAATGTATTTGTTGCATCTAATAATATTAAACTTTCATATCTAGTGCCTATTTTCATTATAAATTAATATTCGTTTGCACTTATTAAGTCTAAATTATTATTACCCAGTTTACAAATTGCAACAAATCACATATTTTCCTAATAAAATGAGCTGTCTGTTTAGCATTGTGTTATATTGCAAAACAAAGTAAATATCTAGACCTCATTACCTGAATTGAAAAGGTTAGCCAACATTTGAAATTCTTTGTGTTGTAGTTGCCTAAGGATTTGCAGTGCTACATGAAAGGTAAAATTCATACAGTTTATCCACTGAAGAGTAACATCTAATATCTGGCTTGAATCCTTATTCCTCTGACAGCTACTATGTGGGGATGTGTGGAGATGGTGCCAATGATTGTGGTGTAAGTGTTCATTTTTTTTTGATTATTGACATTTCTGTCAGTTTTTGTGGCCAAGTGTTTTAAAGTACAAATGTGTAATTCACAGGCACTGAAGCAAGCACACAGTGGTATCTCATTGTCTGAACTGGAAGCCTCTGTAGCATCTCCATTCACATCAAAGACTCCAAACATTTCATGTGTACCAAACCTCATCAGGTAATCTCATATCCCCAAACAAATGCTCCATAATATTTAACCGTGTTTTAGATAATAATAATCCTTGTATTTGATATAGCGCCTCAATGTGGGGAAATGTGAGGTCATCCACTATAGATCCAAAAATAGCAAAACAGAATATTTGTTTTAAATGGTGAGAAACTTAAGACCTGTGGAAGAGAAAGAGATTTGGGTGTCCATATACCCAAATCACTATACAAGCTTACAGGTACAAAAAGTTATCAAAAATGTTAATGGAATGTTGACCTTTATCTCGAGCAGGTTGGAATATAAAGGAGAAGGAATGATGCTCCAACTATATAGAATCTTGGTCCTCATTTGGAGTACTGTGTTCAGTTTTGGGTATATTTACTCTGGAGGGGGTGCAGAACAGATCACCAGAATGATACCAGGGCTTAAAGGGTTAAATTATGAGGGCAGGTGCATGGTCTGTATTCCCTAGAGTTTAGAAGATTGAGGGATGATCTGATTGAGCTTTTTAAAATAATAAAGGGATTTGATAGGGGAGATACAGAGAAACTATTTCCTCTGGTAGGGGAATCCAGAACAAGGGGGCATAATCTTAATATTAGAGCCAGGCCATTTAGGAGTGAAATTAGGAGGTAGTTTTTCACCCAAAGGCTAGTGGAAATCTGGAACTCTCTGCTTCAAAAGGCTGGACTCTTTCACAATTTCAGGACTGAGGTGGATAAATATTTGTTAGGTCAAGGTATTAAAGGATACGGGATAAGGGAGGGTGATTGGATTTGAGGTACTGATCAGTCATGATCTTATAGAATGGCGGAACAGGCTCGAGGGGCTGAATGACCTACTCCTGTTTCTATGTTTCTTATAACATTTTTGAGATGTCTCAAAACACTTCAGAGAATATTCTGTAACACGAATTGACTGTATATTTGTGGGCAAAATTATAATTCAAAGAAAGGATAATTTAGTAATACAGGTATCAGTAGCACGAATGGCCTCCTTCTGTGATGAAAATTCCTTTTTATATCCTGTACAATCTATAACATCAGAGGAATACTACATGGATTTAATCTTGTGTGAACGCTTTGCATAAGTAATCAAAGGTAACTAAAGAGGTATCTTTCCAGATATTTATCCATTTACATTTAAACTAAGTTAATAGGCTAGTCTCGACTAGTTTTGCTAAGTATCTGTTTCACATTTCCATCTCTTTATAAGGGGAAATTTAAAGTCAGACTGCTTACATATGCATCATCAATACTTTTCAGAATTGTTATGACCTGAATATTACATTCCCTGTCAATCTTATTGAAACGTAAACAAGTTCAGTATTATGAATCTTTACTCACAGTGGGATATTGAACTTGTTTTTTTTCTTCTGGTCTCATAATTCTGTTCACTTTTCATCCACAAAATACACAGTCAATCCATTTACAATATATTCTGGGCAGCACTTTGAGACGTCTTAACAACATAATAAGGCGCTATATCAAATACAGGATTATTATTATTACTGAATAGAATGGCTCATTAAATACAATACAATTGTACAGCAATTATTAAATTAATTTTATGTTTTAAAGTGTTGCAGTACTCGGCACTATCGGTTGTCACTGTGATGATATAAGATTAAAAAGCCACTATCCAAGAACGATCAAACCTCTGGATAGTCTTAGAATAAACTTTGTTTTACCTTGAACAGGGAAGGACGTGCTGCTTTGGTAACCTCATTCTGTGTGTTCAAGTTCATGGCCTTGTACAGTATAATCCAGTACCTAAGTGTTACCCTTCTGTATTCCGTAAGTACTGGCTTTGTTTCAAAACTATCTAGAAATTACATACCTTATCAATGTAGTTCTGAAGTAAATGCGCTTCAGAAGGTCTTTCTTTAATTTTTAATGTACTCTATAACTTTTCTTTCTGTCCCCTAACAGATACTCAGTAATCTTGGAGACTTTCAATTTCTTTTCATCGATTTAGCTATCATCCTGTTTATTGTATTTACCAGTGAGTATCCTAAAAATTTAAGATCACGTATCTAAATATGTCACTTTAATGTTGTATTTTGTGCATGCAACTGGTTGCCGAGTAGAACTTGAAAAGCATAGTAACCAAATGATCAAACTTACAAAAATACGTGAAAATTCATACGATTCCCCCAGTTCCTTTTACATCAAATGTTTGAGTATGTTTACAAAGATTTTTGTTACCATCTTAGTACTGTAGTTTACTGTAGGCAGAAACATTTCAAATGGAGCTAGATTTCTGATTCTTATCCAGATGAATCCAAAATGAGAGTTGTAGAAAAAATGTCTCCCTAAAATATTTAACATAAGTCTTTCCTTGCTGAAGTGTTTTTCAAAAATTTTGGTGGTGCCTATGGCAGAAATATTTACCGTTCTTTCTGTTTTTATTTAGTGAGTTTGAATGCTGCATGGCAGGAGCTCGTTCCAAGGAGGCCACCTTCTGGTCTCATCTCTGCTCCGCTGCTGTTATCGGTAGTGTCACAAATTCTGATCTGTACAGCTTTTCAAGCAACTGGTTTTTTTCTGGTGAAGCAGCAAGCCTGGTACAAAGAATGGACACCAAATTTAGAGTAAGTTCTAAAGAAGTTGAATTGTGTTAATGGTTTCACCGACAAAATATACACTTTACTTCACAGTATATTCTGTGAAGCGCTTTGATACGTCTTGAAGGTTTGATAAGGCGCTATATCGAATGCAAGGACTATTATTTTTAAAAATTGTTTGTGTTTCTATTGTTATTGCAGTGTCTGCCATTCATCAGAATCCAACCAAACACTAGAGCACAATATTACACATCCTGATAGCGAGAAGAATATTCAAAACTACGAAAATACAACTTTGTTTTTTATTTCTTGCTTTCAATACCTCATTGTGGCCGTCGTGTTTTCCAAAGGGAAACCATTTCGACAACCTTGTTATAAAAACTGTGAGTTAATTACATTATTAATCTGAATCATGTGGGTGTTAATAGATCATTGTTTAAGTACCACATTTAAGTTCTCATGAGATATTTGCACATGTTTTTGTGCTTTGATTTCAATCTTAATGGTGTCCTGTATTAAGGATCTGACCTTTAACCTGGGTTTTCATAATTGGGGATTGAAGAAAAGAGTGGGGGAACTGCATTTACCCATTTGTTTTGTTTATTGTGAATTAAGCGCTCAAATGAGAGAAGATGTGTGACATACCTTGTAAGTTCAGTTCAGTTTTCCCATCTGTGCTGGTTTGTTTCTGTATGTTGCACTCAGTGATTTTAATATCTTTCCTTAGAATCTAAAGTTATTGTACGGTATGGAGTTTTCAGTGACTTTCTGAGATTAGTTTTTACAAGGTTTTCAACCTAATCAATGTCATTTTAGGTCTGATATATTTCATTGAGTTGGAAGCAAATTAATAGCAGCAGAAAAAACATTGGTGAAGGATATAGGCAAAGGCTAAACAGCTAAAGTAATCAATTTGCATGTAATTATGAAAGAATTATGGCAGATGATATTTCTAGCCATGGCCAATATCTTCAATGCAAAAATCACCCTGAGATCCATTCTCAGGTGCAGTGTTGCCTACAAGAATGTTCATGTAGTTTATATTCTACATGAGTATAAATGTAGTTTATACTCTATACTCTTCTAGTCACCTCTCATAATCTATTCCCCGAACTGGATATGTAAAATTGGAATATATTTTTGATTGTGTTAATACAGAATTATTAAGAGCAAGTCTATGGAGGGAAGCTAACATTTCATATTGCTGTTTTACTTTGTGTTGCTGTCCATCTGTTCTGAAATAAATGCACTGTTTCATGTTGTAACAGATCCATTTGTGGTCACACTGGTTGCCCTTTACACTATTATATTTTTCATGATGTTTTACCCCATTCAAGCGATTGAAAATACTCTTGAGGTAAGACTTTTATCAAATGCAGTTTAAATTCTGAGCTGTTGTTATACCACCGATTTATTTAGATTGTTTTCAGATCACAATTTAATTTTTGTATATATTCTGTTCCATTTTGTTGCCCTTCCATAGAAATTTTCTTACCGACCAGTCATACTAAAAACTGTGGTACAACAGAGCATTTAGACTTGCTAAATTTAGGTTGGCTGAGGGATGCTCAACTGTACTATATATGACTTAGAATGCTTGTTGCAGATACAGGGTTAAAAATAAAGTAGACAGTCCTCCATTTACTCAGGTTCACTCCACAGTCAATTCGAACATAAAGAAAGTGTATTGTGAATACCTGAAGTTGTTTGTGTGATACTGTGTTAGCATTTCCAATTGATGTATCCTATTTTAAAAGTTATCTTTTTACGGGAAATTCAGTGATCTGTGAAAGAAAAATATTGTTAAATTATTAAAGGTTTGTGGTGAAATAATATTTACTGAATGTAACCAATTGTATTGTTTTACAGTTGGTCTGTGTTCCTTATGATTGGCGACTTACATTGCTGATCTTAATACTAATAAATGCAGCTGTGTCTATTGTTACTGAGGTGAGTAAGACATTTTATCTGCTTATTGTTCAAAGATATCTGAGTTGGTTTTAGTTTAGTTGTCTCTAGAAAATTTGCTTTCCACTTTGTTAATCCTCAGGTCAGAATATTTTACAATAGTTTTAACGAACTTTGAAGGTGGTTATACAGTATAAAGCACAGATTTCCTCACGCCTTCCTGCCTTCTGCCTCTCCTACTCCCATAACATGTGTACATACTCTCATTCCTTCCCTCCCTCACTGTCTTTGCTAGCAACTGTGAAGCATGTTTTCCAAATGTATTCTTTTGAAGAAAGGAGCTGGCTGAGATGGATCCTGAGGTCTTGGGGAGTGAGAAAATTCAAGCATGATCATTTTGAGAACATTCATTCTTTCAAATGAGCTCATCTGATGGGTCTTTGCAAGAGGAAAAGGGGGTGTGAAGAAGGAATTACTGTGGATTTCTGTGGGCATAAAGGACCTGTAATACAAATTGGGGTTTGGCATCTTCCAGGAACCATAGAAGTCAACTGATCTGGGTAATCTGTCAGTCTGAGCCAGCAGGCTGCAAGCGCCATTTTCATTACATTCAAGTATTCATCTGACTGACTAAATGTCAAGAAAATGCACTGCTGTCTCTGTAAGAGAAGACCTGATGCTTTAAGTTCTGACCCTGCTGATTTCAAAATGAAACTTTAAAAAAAACTCCAATAAAGTATAATCTGCTCCTCTCCCCTAAACTAATTATCAAAACTAAATGGTAGAAATCTTGGTTGTTGCAGAGACAAGTGTGGGTTGTCTCTGCTATCTGCAATTTCAGAACGATAAACTGAATACTACCATCAATGCAAGGGGAGTTAGCATTGTGACAAGGCTGCCTGACCTTGTGAGCATCAGGATTTCATTGACATGTTCTCTAAACATTTTGGGGGCATCTTGTTACTTATTGAGAAATTGCTGATTTCTAGTTTGTTTCGGTGATTAACGTTGAACATGGAAGACAACCTGTAATAAATAGACAACTTTGGAAGATCATCAGCTTTTGCTTTCTGTTGGTAATAAAAGAGCTGCATAATATAAATAACGATAAACTGTTATTTCTTAAATTATATGGCAGATATTTGCAGTTTTATCTGATTTTTGTAATCATAGTATTCTCTGCNAAAAAAATATTCTCGATTCTTAACAGAATGGTTGTTAAAATGCTGGAGCAAAGAAACCACAGTTTTTCTTTAATTGTTTTACCTCTTGAAACAATGTGGCCAACTTTCTTATCCAAATGTACATTGAAATTGAGACTCATTGCACTTTTTGAATTAATTATTTCCTTAGATCTCAGGCCTAACTTCTTCCCTTCAGTCTTTCCATCCCACAATCAACAGGCATTTAAAATTAAGCTTGGCACCATCCAATCATTATTACTCCTTGACATCATTTGTTTTGTTTCTTCCTCTTTTCAAACGTGCTGGTGTCCATCACCTTTGCTCTGCGCGTCATTATCTCAATATAAAAAACAAATAATGACTTGGAAATAAATTCCACAAAAGAATGAAAAGAATCAATGATATAAATTAAGTGAAATTGCAGCCTAAGATAGCATTTTGATTGAACAAAATGTTTGTTTTAAAAATACTGCTAAGTTCTTGTTTCTTCCTAGACCACATTTTTTTTCTTCATTAATTGCATGACGTCTGTAAATCCCCTCTCAGGCCAGGAGGGGGGAATAGACTATGTGCTGCTGTCAGTTTCAATATTCAGGCAGCAGAATTCATTGTTCAAGAAAGCTAGTCTTTTGTTTATTTCCCTTCTCATAGTTAGATCTAAAACGTTTAATTTTCCCCTTGAAAGCCAGATATTCATGCACAGCTTTCTTATACTTAGTGATAATTTTAAATGTCACATTCTGACATTTATATCAATTGATTTTCAATAGAAAATATTTTCTAAACTGAATCAAACTGCAGCTTATCTCTATATTTGCTCAATGTTAATGTTTTACACAGTTCTTCAATTGCAGTATTTTTAAAGCTTTAAAATTGTGTAGTTTATCATACCATATTGTGATATATTCTTAATATTTAATCTTCCTTTTTCTAAATATTTAAAATCAACAGCTATCACGTGGAATACCTCACTTTTGCTGCTCAAATAATCAAGTTTGTCAAATTAGTTTAAAATTGGTAATTGGTTTACACTAACTTGCTTGAAATTTGATGATTATTTAGTTCTTTTAATTCTCCCTGCCCACTGCAATGTCTCATAGACTTTCCTGCTTGACTTGATCCTTTGGAAACTTCTGTTTGACAAAGACAGACCTGGAGATGAGCATACCACCACCTACCAACAGGTTGGATTTGTATTTTTATTTGTGGCAATTTGCATTTTCAATATGCAAAATGCTTGTATAGCAAACTGATTGTCTTTTGTTACCTGTGTTTTGCACTGATTTAATGACTTCAGTATACTAAGTATAGGCCAAGTGGCCTGTTTCTATGCTGTAGATTTGATGTAAATTTATGTTTAAAAAAAAACAGCAAATTGAAAATTCACTGAAACCTTTTCATTTATATGCTTTCTCCCTTCAGAAAAATTTGCATTTCTCATTGGCTCTGTAATGAGAAATGCATTTAAGTCATTTACCCAAGTCATGTTGTATCTGTTTTTGAAAAGTGCAGGAGTTTCTATAACAACTTCTTTGCTCGTAATGTTTATGCCAGATCTTATCTAACACTTGCTTAAAAATGAAGAAGATTCTAAGTTATCATGGAAATGGGAAATGCATGTCTTGGATCTCTATGCTGCAATGAACACAGTTTATGAACCCTTAAAAGTGAAATTCTCTAATATGCAGTTTGGAATCTTAATGTAATGTGACTGCTTGTATCTTGAAGGAGGCCCTTGACAGAAGAGGCAAAACATGTTCGACACACTTCTTTGATAAGAGCAAGCCAAAGGCCAAATACATGCATCTGGCCCAGGAACTGCTCGTGGACCCTGATTGGCCTCCAAAGCCCAAATCAACGACAGAAGCAAAAGTTCCACTCTCTGAGAACTGTTCATACAGTATAATCACAATGAGCTAACACAGGATAATGTACTGTACATTTGTCAACAGTACAATGTTTCAGAGGTATGGTGTAAATATGTTGATTCTGGGAAAGGATAAAGTGGTTGGTAATGATTTTATAAACTAAGGTCCAGGGAATTTGCTTTTGAGGGATTTGAGGACAGCCTTTTAAAGGCTAGTCTGACGCATCCTTTTTCTACAATGTAAATGTTGAGGTAAAATAACTCGAAAGTGATTAGCAATAAATATTACAGCATTGCATCAAAAAAGACTTCAAATATATTTTAGTTAAATCCTACCAGATACAGTAGTTTTTTATAAAAACTACCATAATATATTCAAAATACTAAAACTCCTAAATGAAATTGCTTTTCTGAATAAAGTGCTGCAGTGGTGGATGTATCTTCAACAGCAATGCAATTGAGCATCTGCAGATGGATCAGCTGCTCACAACTTTGTTGAGAGAGAAAAGAAAAGTCAAGCCGTTTGCACATCTTGAAATGCTTACATGAAGCTCTCTCTCTTCAGTAGCCTCCAACCGCTGGAGTCATTTCTCATAACAATCTGCTCTTCTCTAACTTTACAAATTGAAATACAGTACAGCGGGATGGCTGAATGTTAAAAATGTATGGTTATGCAGTGGCTGGAATGCAAAACCATCACTTTCCATAATCTTGCTGCTGATGCCAAATATAAATTGGCTGTATTATTCTGCACATTTGACTATAGCGCAGAGTAAGAGTGGCAGCACGTTACCACCAAGAACAACAGTTAAAGTGCATAAATTGCCTGAATTACTCCATTATTGAGTTAAACTTGGTAAAGGAAGCTTTCCTGAAGTGGGTTACATTTCTTGGGGTTACTTTGTAAATGGTTCCACATCCAGTACCAGAGAAATAGATATACCTTTTTGCCCTGAAAAATTAATAATGCAAGTGAAAAATATCTGTCTTGTGTTAGTGTGGTATTGCAAATGTATTTCACTCTTATTTATTTGTGTCCAAATGTGTCCAGGGTCATTTCATATTGTATTTAATCAAGTTTTACCTACATGATACCCAGTTAATCCACTATAAAGTATATCCTGTGAAGTGCTTTGAGATCTCAAACAAGGTGATAAGCACCATATCAAGTACAAGGATTATCATCAATAAGTGTTTTTCAATATTTGTAAATGTCAAAAATCAACCATGTGGGAAAAAAGTTGTGCTGACCATACTTACTACACTTCTCTGCTGCCTGTGTAGCTTGATTGTGTTGTGGTGGGAGTGTTTGTGTCACAGCTGTTCTGACTTGACTTCCTTTTATTTCAATGTACAAGAGAGCTGTCATTAACAAATGTGCTTCGATTTAGTGCTCACTCCAAATTATTTTTTTCCTCTGCTATAAAGACAAATGCAGATTAAATCTGTTTGCTGAAAGCAGTGAAACTGAAACAGGAATTCTTTTTTTCAATTTTCATAGCATCATAATGATCTTAACTTGGCATATGTAACTTGGAAAATCAAAGGGATAATGTCGCTTGCTAAGTCTTTAAGACTGGAACTAGCAATTTCCCCTTAGTGCACCGGAAATATTTTTCACATATAATTTGCTTGGAATGTAACTGCACGATGAAAGTAAGCATTGTAGAAGGAACATAAGAGACTATTATTAAACAGAAGGTTCATTTTGAAATAAGCCCAGAGAATAACTAAGTGAGGTCCTAACCTTCACTTAGCGAGGGCTCAAATCCATGCTTTTGGATGTCAAACAATCATAGAATATTACAGCACAGAGGTAGCCATTTGGCCCATCATGCCTGTCCTGGCTCGTTGGAAGAACTACCCAATCAGTGCCACTCCCCTGCTCTTTCCCCATATCTTTGAAAGTATTTTCTTTTCAGGTACCTATTCAATTCCCTTTTGAAAGTTGTTATTCAATCTATTTCTACCACCCTTTCAGCAGTGCATTCCAGACCTTAATTCTCTGTAAAAAAAAAAAAAAAATGTCTCCTTATCTCTTCTCTGGTTCTTTTGCCAATTATCTTGAATCTGTCTTCTGTATTCCCTGGTTGCCGACTAAACACAATGAACTTGTCTCTATCTTTCTGGGGATGGTGAGGTGGGGTGGGGCGTAAGTGGGGTCTGCTTGGAGCTGAACTGGCTCCAAAGAGACATGTCTGGCAACAATTATTGGAATCGAATCTGCCCGCTTGTGGTAGTCTCGGTATTCCGGTTCCTGAGCCAGGCGGGTCCGCATTACTCCAGGGAAATGCTGATGACAGCCTGGCTCATTTTGCAGGACTTGCAGGGATAGACCAGTCACTGTGGGTAGGGAATCCTCCCACACAGCTTCTCTAGCCCTTTAAGCCAAAGCCCTAACCTGTAGGGTGGTCCTAACTGGACAAGCAGTGGGAAAGCTTGCAGACAGTGTTATTGGTGGCAATTTATGCTGTTCTTGTTGATTAGACTCCATTAGTATCCCAAGCCTTAGTTCCTGCCAACCTGCACCTAAGACTTTCTGCAATTAGGTAAGCAGGATGCATCCCTCCAGGGAGAGAGTGCACATTCCATTTCAACAATCTATCTCTAGAATTTTCATGGGAATTTGGGGTGCATGTAGATCTCAGTTTGATTTTGGATACTCTTTTAAATATGGTGATGGGTTTCCGCATATAAGACATATGCCTGACCAACAAAAAACAGTAACCGACTCATGAACGTGGAGTTTCATTTTCAGGTGTGTGGAAGATAAAATACTCCCAACACAGTTAGCTNAAAAGTAAAAAGGTTCTAGCCTCCAACACTTCAGATGGTAGAATCATAGAATTATACAGCACAGAAGGAGGCCATTTAGCCGATCGTGTATTTGCCGGCTCTTATCTAAATCAATCCCACTCCCCTGCTCTCTCCCCATAGCCCTGCAAACTTGCCCTCCTCAAATGATCAAATCAATTTGAAACCTAGGTTAAAAGTCAGTGACATATTAGATCTTGGAAACCATAATTTATATTTACTTCTCCCCTCCCTCCTCCCACCTCAAGTTTCAGGACACTTATTCACAATTTTCAAGGGATGTCTTAAAAGAAATACAATATATGTATTATACGAAGTTATACATTACACAAAGTTAATTTGATTTATAGCAAGGGGGACCATTTGGTAAAGAATAGGACTGGGATTTGACCAGCTTCAAGATTTGCATAGGCAATGTTTGTGTGCCCTGGAATACTTACTACTAGCTGTACCTGTTGCAGCTACGATTGCATCCAGTTTCATTTTATCGTCCTTCTCTCTTTTGCCTAGCATTTTTATTTGTCCTTGAAAGGCTTGATCTTCACTTCTTAGGCATTTTTATCGCTTAAGATTAATAACATGTGCTATTGAACTCGTTATCATCCCTTGTTTACATATTTGCACACATATCCTTTTGGGAGGACTCCTGTAGGAAGAACTCAGTGGGAGGACTCCTGTTGGGAGAACTCCTAACACACAGACAGACATTTTGTCTTTATTAGTATAGATTTATCTCTCTAGATCTCTGTCGCTACTTTGTTGCAGAATATCATGCATACTTTTTGGGGGCTTAATTAAAGCATTGTTTAGTATATTTTTTAATATAGCTCATCAACGATAGGAGATCCCCCAAACAAAATATGCCCATGACGCTCCCCCATGCAAGATCTTTCTGACGAGGTATAAATCATGTCTCTATGTCAGTCGGTTGTTGTGTTCTTGGCATACACCTACACACACAAACAGACATTTTGTCTTTATTAGTACATATTAGCCATCACACTCAGTTATATTTTCACAACACTATTTGAGAATTTGTCACCTCATCTAGATAGATCTTTGCTGCTTACATGACAACTAGCAATTATAGATGGAAGCTCAACACTTACTGAAGTAATTCTTGTTTGGATAATTCTCAAAATGATAGCTGTTTAATAATTCTTCTGTTGCTGGGCATTTCTAGAAAGTTTATAAAATAAGAATCATAGAATTGTACAGCACAGAAGGAGGCCATTTGGCCCATCGTGTCTGCGCCAGCTCTTTGAAAGAGCTATCCAAATTAATCCCACTCCCCAGAAAGAAAGTATTTAACCTGATGTCCCGATTTGCATAGAAGCCGTTATGGGTGTAAAAGAATAATCTTGTATTCATTTCACCATCTGTTGTGCAAAGAAAATGTAACAGCAAGACATAATCCAGTTATACAGACTGACTTTTCACAGGGCTGAAGTGCAATAATTTTGACAGATGTAGAAAAATTGTACTTTCAAGCAAAGGAACACAGGTATATTGACCTGCACAGAACAGGCTAAAGACTATTCCTCTCCCCACTTAGGTCTTTGTTTAGCAATTCGCTGTCCCCAAGGTATCTATTCAAAATAAAGAGGAAAAGGTCAAGGATATCATTGCCATTGGTCTTTTGGTTTAAGAAATTACAATACCTGATTATTCCCTATTCTAAAGGAGGAGCAACAATTCTACCATATGGATTTCAGATGGGTACCTTAATATTATGATGTTAGTATCAGAAGTATCATTTACTAAGTCCATTCTGTTTTTAAACCAACACAGGTCAGCTCATTATTTTTCTGACATTGCCAATTATGCTGTACTACCAATAAGAAAAACAAGATCCTCTTGTTTGGGGGTGGAACAAATGTCTTCAACTTAACTGCAGAAATTTGCACTCTATAGGAACCTGCTATGTGCTTGGTAAATGTTTTCTCCTCTCTAATGGATATTTCTGCTCGTAAAGACATAACTGCTAGCGGACTTGTGTTCACTTCTACAACTGGTTCCATACCAGCTGTACTTTCCTTATATTAGTTTTCAATTAGGTTAGCAATTTATCCAGCAGTTTAGTTTACTGATATGCATGTCTTGTCCAATGTATTTATTATTTAAGACATTATTTCTGCTTCCCTGTATTGAAGGTTTCAGTTCGTATTTAACAGTAAATGTAATTAATTTTATGAATGTTTGCCATCATTGTATCAATGAAAGCCATTTTCCTCTAGTGTAAACAACAATAATAACAAACAAATTACATTTATATAGCACATTTCACGTTAGGAGAATGCCCCAGGACAACAATTCCTATTTCTAGAGTGTTACAGAGTGGGTCTTTATCTGTTCATAGAATTTGTAAGGCTTTCATCTAATAGAAATTAAACTGTTAAACTAATGAGGATATTGCAAGGGAAAAGCATATTTAGAGAGACGGGTGCCGTCCTGAATTTTCATGGTTGTGTAATTTACTTTAATCCATAACATATATATCTACCCACCAAAGATTAACGGTTACATCTCTAAAAGCAGATAAATAACTTTTACTTTGTTTCACAGGAAAGAGCCTTGAAGTCCATAGTGCAATTGTATATCTGAGTTCCAAACATGCAGCCATGTTTCAAGAGGCATTCTAGAACAATTAAGGCAACATTATAGCTTCCAGTATTTTCTGCTCGTCAACCTCTGGATAACTAACCCATAATCTATTGTAACCAACAATCTCTTCAGTTACCTGTACCAAAGACACTAGACACTTATTTATAAAAGAGACTTGACAATTGTCTTAAATTTTTCTCACCCGTTACTATCTTGAAAAACATTTTAATGAGTGTTGTGCTTATTGGAGCAGTGTTGACCTTGTCGTTTTTTAAAATTAAAATAAATTGTTTTATTAGGAGCAGTTGACTATCGTTTTGCCTGTGTTTCTAAATTCATTTGGAGAGGTGTGCAGTTCTTTGTAAGAACTTGTTGCATTCTATTACCTCAAATGAATGTTAGAACTATCCTATTTTAATACATTTTTGATAGTGTATAAATAAGCACAATTGCTGCTATGCAATAAATTTACTTTTAGCAGTTAAGACTACTTGGAAAATCATGGGAGCAAAAATCGCTAATAATGCACTGGTTTACAGAGGGAACAATTTTGCAAACAGGGAAAGAAATCAAATATATGTTAATGTTTACTAAAAATCATTTTTTTGTAAATCTGTTTTAACAGACCTTATCCCTCAGGGAAAGTGTTTTTTTTAATGCGCTACTATTGTCGGTCTATATCGTTTTAAGTTTTAAACTAATTTTAATCTTCTCTTCAAAGTTGTTCCATACTGAAAACTACACATTGCAAAAATAATAGTTGAAAACACTTTGCCAAGCAAAACGATCCATCTTTTCCAATTTTTTTTAGATATTAAAATGGATATTTTTAACTTTTACAAGATTTTTGTAATATACATTTGAGATTTTCTACCTGTAATTTATTCTATTTATTTTGACTTTCTTTCTTAGATTGTTTGCAGTTGATGTATAAAATGCTTGGTTTCAGATTTATCCTTTGAATATGTAAATATTTGAAACGGATTTAATTCCTCTTGCAGCTGCTCTTAAATGATGCAATGGTATCCTCAGCATGATTTCAATCTTGTAAATTCTGCTAATTACTATTTGAGGAACGAATAAACATTTTACCATATCCAGAGTTGTTTTGGTTTGATTTACATGCATTTTGGGCAAAGAGATGCTTTGAAATATATCAAGTGGCAAATGCCATCTGATTTAAATGAAAACCTTATCTCAAAAACCTGAGATGCTTTGTGAAACCACATTCATTGCTTTTCTATGCATTTTGCTGCTGCATTTTCCTGTTATCAATTTCTTCAATATATTGAAGAAAAAAATGGCTTCTTTATGTCTCTTAAGCTTCAGTTCAAGATGTTTGGTTCATATTTTGTGAGGAGGGCGTGTACATTCCAAAGCCTGAACTGACCATTTACAAAGTGAGATGAACCGCATGAAGGGGAAATCTTTCTTTCGCGCTATCTGGAGCTCCCTCCCTCAACCCCTCTCGTTAGACCCTATCCAAGTCTTGCCTTAAAACCTACCCCTGACCACACCTATGGTCACCTAACCTCTATCGGTGTCCAAACCTGCCACTGTAAAGTGATCTGAGACCTAATTCTGTGCTGAAGAGTACTATTTAAATATAACTTGTTTTCCTAGCTCCTAGATTGAAATGCTCATGTCCCTAGTTCCCCATTGTAATATGTGGAGTGCGTATTTCAAAACTGCTGGATATCAGCATAAAATACTCAATTGGCTATCACATGACAGCTTTTCATTTCGTAATCACTTCGCACGAGGCTGCATTGCTAAAGATACAAACATCCTATTGAAGTTGCAAAGTCATTTCCTTATTGCATATTAAGCAGGGATGTTTAGTTCAAGAGTGGATCCAGTTGAAAGAAGGTAAGAGGATCAGTTTTTGTTCTGACAGAAGTAGGGTTACTTTGTAAATGATACCAAGATACATGATCAATGTAGAGTAATTTGTAGAGTTCACAAGGATCTGACCATGCTAAATAGCTGACCTAAGGGAATGTCTTGATAGAATTTAATATAAATAAATGTGAGATGATAGGAATGTAAAATGTGTGTGGGGGAAAAGCTATACAATTTTTAGGTGTAATTCTGGGTTGTTGAAACTATTAATGTGAATCGAAATGTGAGCACAGAAGGCAAAAGGTGCTGGATAAATTTCAGCACGTTAAGAAATGGAATTTAAGTACAGAAAGATATGTATGGACGGATATAATGGAAGTCAGTGGAACACTGGGGTTACTGAGGGTGTTAAATTATCTCTCTCTTTCAGATGCTGATTCACCTGCTGTCCATTTCAAGCAGTAAAGTCTAAAAGAAGGGCACATTGTTTCTTGGTGATTCTGATCAGCATTTTGGGGGGGATTCATTTAATCTGCAAAGGGAAATGGCGACATCCCAGTGCTTATTTATTGCTGTGAGTTTTCTTCTCTTTGTCGTGTCTTTCAGCTGCCCTGAAGACTGTGAATGCTCTCTGACTAGAGCCTCTTGTGTCATGAAAAGTGGAAAGACAGACACAAAATTACTTGCAGCCTTGCCAGCAAATTTATCAGTATTGTCAGTGATTACATTGATGACCAACATAAAAGCAAACAGCTTTGCAAATCTAACACTTTTGAGGCAACTTATATTTATTGGAGATCACATATCGAGTGTTTCCTTCGGAGCCTTTAACCATCTAGATAACCTTAGTGCCCTCATGTTGGATAAAACTTTATTGGAAGTTCTGCCAGCTGGAGTCTTTGACAAACTAGTTCATCTTCGACAACTTTATTTCACCAATAACAAGCTAAGAAAAATTGATAAAGGATTGCTCGATAACCTTATCGAGCTGGAAGAACTCTATTTGTACGGAAACATGTTACAAACACTTCCAGTGGGCGTGTTTGACAGTCTGGTGAATCTTAAGAAGCTTCATTTAGGGAGGAATTTACTCAGCGTTCTTCCTGCAACGATATTTGACAAGCTTGCAAACCTGCAAATTCTTAGGATGTATCAAAACAGACTCACTGGCATTCCCTCGGGTTGCTTTGATCAATTGACAAAACTCACTGAGCTGTCTCTCCATGTTAATTACATCACTCACCTCCCCAGTGACTCCTTTATTCAACTCCAGAGCCTGGTAATGTTAATGCTATCCAACAATAAACTCATTGCATTGCCACCCAGGATCTTTCATCATCTGCCCAACCTCAGTAAGTTATCTCTCTTCGAAAACCAACTCTCGCTTCTTCCAGTGAGCACTTTTGGCAAAATGGATAAGCTGAAGGAACTGTGGCTATATGACAACCACCTGACCAGTCTTGCTGATGACTTGTTCATCAATGTTACGCATTTAACTGTATTGACTTTATCCTACAATAAAATCAGCAGCATCTCGCGCAACGCCTTCAGGGGTCTGGACAAACTTCACAAACTTTCCCTCCAGCAAAACCATCTTTCTATATTAAGCGAGAACTTGTTCAGCTACCTGGGACAACTGCGATACCTCTCGCTCAGTTTCAACCAAATTCAATCCCTTCCCAGAGATATTGTTAAGGGGTTGCACAATCTGACAGTTCTCAAACTGGAAATGAATTTATTACAAAATGTCCCAGAGGGATTGCTGGATAGCTTGGCACATGTTCAGCAAGTCCATTTGCACAACAATCCTTGGAAGTGTGACTGTGCCATTTCTTATCTGAAACAATGGATGTCAAGCCACTCCAAAGTGATAATCAACAGCACCCAAGTAACATGTAGTTACCCAACCTCATTGCTCGGCCGGTCTGTCGCAACCTTGCCTGATAATGTGCTAGCAACCTGTAACACAACCAGCCCAGTTACAGAAACAAGAGCACTCCTTCTTAACTCCTGCCCACCGATGGATGCCTGCACCTCGCCAATGGAGACTTCTCATCAAGCAGCCAACAGTGCCTCAGAAGAGCATGGAGTTGAGTCCACAGCTGTCACAAACCCATCACAAGAGTGGAAGGCAACCGGTGCCTCCGTTCAGAGTTCCACAGGTCGTGTCCTCCTCACCAGTCAGGGCAGCTATGAAGAGATTGTGAGCCACACAATAGGCTTCGGAGCCAACACCACACCAGCTACTGTTTTTCATCAGAGTCAAATATCCACAAATGCCAATGGAATTCAGGGGCTTCCAAATATCCCCTGTGATACGATTCTGATCTCCACCATCTTCTTGGTTATATTACAGTGTTGTCTGATTATTATAGCTTTGTATATTCTGTTTGTTATCAGAAGGCGTTTGCTTCATCGGCACAGAATCGCTCAAGCTGTTTTTTGAGATTCTCTGAAAGGTGTGAAGTCTGAGTCAGGAAACATGCACAAAACAATTTTACTTTTAATTTTGTATTTCATATTAATTGTTCATTTAGGTCTGATCTTTTTCATATGTATACAATTGTTGTATTTTATTTTTTTGGGGTGATTACAGGTTATTTTGTATAGCGGATATTGTTTATAAAAAATTACCTTTTTATAGAAGGCAGAAGCTGCATACTTAAAATGATGCATAATAATCCTTGCATTTGATATAATGCCTTATCATGTTTGAGATGCCTTAAAGCCCCCCTTCACAGAATATTCTGTAAAGTGAATTGACTATATTTTGTCTGCAAAACATGGCACAGTTGTGGATTGAGTGACTAAGTTGTTATTTTTTGAAGGGATTATCACCCCTGGAAAGCGATCCACCAGTCAACTAACAACCGGGTTCCTACTTACTGCACCAAATGAAAAATCTAATATGATGTACTATGGCATAAACTCATTGCAATAAATAGTGTATTGAGCTTGTGCCATGCCAGCCGAGAATATAAAAGTAGTCTGTGCTTTCAAATGCAAATTGCCTGACTTTTTTTGGAAAAAAATTCCAAGTTAAATGAAATAAAAATTAAAATCTCATATGAGCCAATGGTTTTCACTTGTTTAAAATATGCCAGTTGCTAGATCCACTATCAAGAGTTCAGAACTACGCAGTGCGGTAAACTGTTAGTTGTTAGCTCCTTGATTTTCATCAAGGTTACCCCACCAACTTGTCCGCTCCCTCTGCTTGGCAGGCACTGGCCTGCTCCATGCCCTCGCCCTAACATTGGCAGATTTGTCAGCTTTTCCACCCCCACCCTCTGGAACTTCCTCCCCAAACCTTCCGCCTCTCTGCCTCCCTCACCTCCTTCAAGGCCAATCACAAGACCTTCCTCTTTGACTGTGTCTTTGGCCGTACTCTCACCCCCACTCCCCCCTAATCTCCAGCCTCTTGATTCCAATCCCCAGCTTGGGTGCAAACCCTCCAGCGCTTTGGGACATCCTTCTGACATGAAAGGCGCTAGATACATGTAATTTGTTGGTGTTGTCTTCCAACGCGGGAGAAAGGGTCTACATTAATTTGGTAGGATGAAGAAGAAAATAAACTACTCACAGAGGGATTGCCAGTGAATGACAGCGGCTGTTTATCTGTCAGAAGCAAACCTTGATGTTCCACACTAGTCTGTTCCATTATTTCCTCGATTCCACTATGTGTTTCCTACCACAAGCCTGATCTGTGAAGTTGTGATAATAACCAAGGAGATAAACTTCCCAGTTATTGCAACAACTGGAGGACAATGTTGGATTTCACAAGGCTGAAAACTTGCCAATTAACCTGGTTCTAAATTATGCTCACAACATTAGTCGGTGAAACTGCCAAAGGAGCCAGTTACTAAAATAAATTCTTAATTCAGAAGAACATAATTCATGAAAGAATTTGGTTGTGTTTGGCAGCCAAACCTAATCCAGCAAAAAAATTCCTTCAGCTCACCAGCCTTCCAGAAGATAAAGCTATAAACTAAATCTCTTGCTCTGTATGTATATATATGTGAAGGTAGATTATTATAGATTATTAACTTGCTCTAATCTGTTCTCTTGTGAACAATGATGACAATAAAGAATTAGCAAAATAATAATTATCCTGGTTTTGGGGTGTAGCGCCTTATCACCTCTTTCTAGCATTAAGTAGCAACCTGGTTGTTATTCGATTGGTGGTTTTTTTTTATTTGATAATTTTTTTTTGATAAATTGGGCACTCAAACCACTGTTTGTGGGACACTGCTGTGCGCAATTGGTTGCTATGCTATGCCCACAAAATACAATAAATCCACTTTATATGTGGTGAAATGTCTCATCTCAATTGCTAAGGCACTACATGATTATTATTTATTCTAGGTGTGACCCTTCATCGCTGCAGTCGCATATTCGACTGGCGTTCACTAACCCGGCTCACACATGAAGAATTATCACATGTACAAGTTAACAGGTTGTCACCCTTGGACCTGGACCCCATTCTGAGTCACGCCTTTGGGGGAAGGAAGACTGTGGAGGGACGTTAAGAAAAAATCCTGTCACGAAAAATGGGCTGGAAAAAAGGTTGAACCTACATCTCACGTGAGCTCACTCACCCCTGATTATCTGTTGGTCGTTAACTGCTGGGAGGAGTTTGCTTCCATTTCAGCAAGTCACCCTTTTGTGCAGGATAGATTATTGAGGAAGGTAAAAACAAAGTTCTTTTTAATAATTTTATTAATGACACAGTGATACGTCGAATATTTGAGTGCACGTATTGTTCATATATGTATGACAGTAAAACTATATTGCATTTAAATAAAAATTTCAAATAAATTTTAATTTTATTGTGATTGAAGGGAGATAAATTCGGAACAAACCTGCGGTAACACTTCTTCAGTGAGCGAGTAGTAAACTAAGGAGAGGGTGGAAGCAGAAAAGATTGTTTGTTTCAAGAACAAATTACATAGATTTCTGCTAGAAAATAATATCTCAGGATACATTTGGGACACGGCATGTCAAGCGACTGCCAGGATAGTGGAAGGCGAAGTAGCAAATTCTTATGTTCTTATCCCAACGCCCAATGTATTATTATTTTAAATCATTCTTATTATTTAAAAGTTTGACATAAAATGTTGCAATATATTTTGGGGGGGGATTTGGTCCAAAACGCCAGCTCGGGCGCACATCCTTGACCGTCCAGCACTTTTTGACATCCGCCAGACGTGAAAGGCGCTGTGTAAATGTAATCTGTTGTTCAATGTGTAAAATGATTTTACAAAAAGGATAAATTTGTTGCCTGGCTCGGGTTGATTTTCCGCCCGCCTAACCCGCTGAGGCCCCTTTAGCACGTCTACTATCGTCCCCATGCTGGGACCAGCAGACCCAGCACAAACAGGGCTCACAAGAATTAACCATGCTCCTGACCCCACACTGGTCGGAGACTATTAGGAGCAATGATGACGCATCATTTGGGATAAATGTACTTCTTTGGGTGTGAGCAAAACCTCAACGTTGTGTTTTTTAATGTTGTTGAATTTGCAAATACTGTAGTTTCGCCCACAAAATACACAGTCAATCCACTTTATAATAGCTTCTGCTCTCTAAGGTGATAAGATAATCATATTAATAATAATCCTATAATTTAATATAACGCCTCTCACGTCAAGAGGACGCCTCGAAGCACTTCACAGGATTTACTGTGAAGAGTAGTGACTGTGTAATACACTGGCTAGTGGTGAGGGACAAAGTTTGCATTAATTCCTCCCTCCCCCCTCAACCAGAGATTTTATTATGTGCATTAAAAAATACCTTTAATGACCCTTACATAGAGAAAAACTGCAGATTCCTGTTCACAGGGCGCGGGTTTTCCTCAGTGTCTCCCTGCTAGGTACCAATATCCTATTTCAATCACTTGAAATAAATCACCTCTGGTGCAACGCTGTCGCGCAGTATCATTTGGTTGTGGTTATCTATAAATATATATATATTTTTTACAAAGTTTCTAGTCATGTTTTCACAGGATGTTTCATTGTGCACCTTTTTTTGCAAAAACCTTTTGCTGAGGTAATAAAGTCTTACAAATTATTGCATTAATATATTGCGCTCCAATTGTAGGTACAATGAAATCGCAATCCTATATGTTCTTGGTATTAAGTCTTCAAATCCATCTCTTCGTCTCTGCCTGCCCTGATGGATGTCACTGTTACAATTTGCCCAATTTTGTGATATGCAATGGGAAAACCCTAACAGAAATACCAACGTCCATACCCCCACATATTCAAATCCTACAGGTGATACACACCCAAATGGAAGTGGTCAGAGCCAACGCCTTCTTGAATCTCTCATCACTGGTCACCCTCATAATCCACCAAACCCAGATCTCTCACATTGACTTGGGGGCGTTTAACAACTTGGACCATCTGACCAGGTTGAGTCTGGAGGGCAACAGGTTGGAGCGTCTGCCTGCGGGACTGTTTGATGGCTTACACAGTCTTCAAATCCTCGTGTTGCAGAGTAACAGGTTGACCAGTGTGGAGCCAGACTTGTTCAACCAACTGGTTAGCCTCAAAGACCTACAGCTCCACCACAACAGATTGACCACAATCGCTGACGGTACATTTGACCATCTCACGCAGCTGGTAAAGCTTAATTTAGGCAAGAACAAGATCACCAATCTGCCCTTGAAGGTCTTTGACAAACTGGGACAACTTCAACAGCTATGGCTCTATGAAAACCAGCTTGGTGCCATTGCTGCCAGGAGCCTTGCCAACCTCAACAGCTTAGTAGAACTAGGGCTCAACAGTAACAGCATCCAGCACCTTGCGGCCAATGTCTTCTCGGCTCTACCTCATTTGAAGACATTGACCTTATCTGGTAACTTGTTGTCAACATTGCCACAGGGACTTTTACTGGATCTGCCCAAACTCTCACAACTGACCCTCTATGAAAACCATCTGTCGCGGCTAATGCCGGGCACTTTTGGTGCCATGCCCGAACTCCGAGAGCTTTGGTTATACCAAAACCAACTCGTAATTCTAGAAGACAATGTATTCAGCAACTTATCCTCTTTACGCGTTCTCATTTTGAGCCACAATCAGATTTCCTCCATCCAAAAAGGAGCCTTTAGCGGTTTAGATGAACTCACAGACCTCTTCCTCCACACAAATAATATCAGCAAATTAGGTTGGGACGTGTTTAGCAACCTTGGACAATTGCGGAACATCTCACTCCACAACAACCGGCTCCAGTCACTTTCCCCGCGGGTTTTTAACAACCTGCAGAACTTGAGAAAGATTCAGCTTCACAACAACTCGCTGCAGCAAGTTCCAAGTGCTCTGTTTCACCTCTTACCTGGTCTGACCGAGGTCAGTCTACATCTAAATGTCTGGTTGTGTGACTGTGGCATCCTAGGGCTGCAGGACTGGTTAAAAAATCACCCTGATAAAGCGTTGGCGCCAAATCGCGTTACTTGTCATAATCCCCCTGCTCTCCAAGGCAGACCAATTCTAACTCTGGTTGATGAATCCCTTGCCTGTGATGCTCAGTCTGCTCCTCCAGTGAACTACACCACAGGACTAATACCGCTCCAGCTGAACACTGAAGGAGAAAGACGGGACCATTATATTCTCACTGCAGCTCGGAGTGAAAGAACAAATGCAGTGAATGGTGAAGGAACTCAGAACATTGCCCATCAGACGCTCGATCCCTTTAACACAGGGATTCTGATCATTCTTCTTCTACTTGTCTGTGTTATTGTAATTGTCACATCAAGAAATTGGGTGAAACCTCACACTGAGAGAAGGGATCCTATAATGCTGCTTCGACTCTCGCCAATAAATGATGCCCTTTAAGGAAAGAGGCCAATTCTCTTCTAGTTTGACTCAGGATCGTATTTTTTTTGTTTACAAAAGCTTTTGAGTACTTTGTCATTATTGTTGACATTAATTCCATTCCAATTATGCTTTCGATCCTCATTAAAATGGTCCATTTTAAATAGTTTTTTAAAAATATTTAGCCGCACCAGCATCTGTTTTGTAATGGGAATGATAAAACACCTGCCAATAGCCAGCGAACAGCCAATTGCGCACAGCAGTGATGATAACGGAATAAAGATGAAGCGTAGAAAATACAACAGCTTTGTCTAAATGTGTGTTTTTATTTCCGGGCTCAGATTAACAAGATGGTTGGTAGAGGGCAGGACGTTGAACCTATTTAAGAAACAGTGTGATGTGGCATTGGGAGGATGGTAGTGTGGGCACTCTGAAAAGATGAGATCAAATAGGCTGAATGTCCTTCTTTACCTAATTGACTCCTGAGATCTCAAGATCTTCTGTTGCTTTAATAGTGTTGTTTATTGACATTATCTTTTACGCTGCAACTGAGAAGAAAATTTACTTTTCACATATTTTCATATTGTGAAGGCCTCGTAATGTTATTTCCAATAACATAATGAAGGTCAATCGATGGAACAGACCCTCCACCAAAACTATTTTGTGTGACATATCCTCTGGGCCAATTGGTTGCTGCTTTCACCCACACAAAAAAAATGCGGTGACTGCACTCTGCGCTTTGGGACGTTCTCCTAACATGAAAGGCGCTGTATCAAATGCCAGGATTATTATTTATTATTGTTATTAATACTGACACAGAACTTGATGGGAAACCCACCGAGAACAGCAGTCAGTTGATTAATTTGTTGACACCCAGTTGTGCAGCAAGATATCTCTAGTTCGCTCGTTATCAGACTAAGGTGCGTGGGTCAGTTAAGTGCTCCATGTGACGTGCAGAGCTTTATCAAGTGCTCTCAGGATCAGATGAGTTTGTGAGCTACATCTGTCGCTTCACTTGTTTACGCAGCCACACAGCCCAGTCCTTCATATCAAAAGTCTCGGCGCTTCAGAACATTGCTCTTTATTTAGGTAAGTGGAGCATTTTTACCATTTACATTAATGAGCGTACATCAAGCTCATTTATACAATTGATATATAATTTGGTCGTTCGAACCAAGACTGTTTGTGTAACACTGTTGTGCGCAATTGACTGGTTCGTTTCTCTCACAAAATATACAGTGGATTTGGTTCACCATATAATCCTGTGAAGCGCTTTGAGATATTTCAACAACACGATACGGCCCTGTATCGAACACAAGGATTATTATTGTCATTATTTTACTGAGTCTTTTCTGGGAAGGGTCAGCCAGTTGCCTCGACACACGTGGAAACCTATCGCCATGCTTAACAGTATTCAAACCACACTGCAAGTTCCACATATGTACACCACCCACACAGGCACATTTCCCTGCTGCTACAGCTTTTGTTTCAAACTCTTCAGTACGGCATTTCAGCAATGGTTTACTGTAGTTTAATTGATCAGAGATATGATGTGATTGCAGTGTTTTCCTGAGATTAAACCATCTATCTGGATTCCTTGGTAAAACAATGCTTAATAGGTTAAGAATAAATGGCACTTAATGTTTTTGATTCAACCATGAACAAGCATTCTAGAGCACTGCCAGTTCCTCTCAGATAATAATAAAAATGTTAATAATCCTTGCATTTTCTGTAGCGCCTTATCATGTCGTTGAGACATCTCAAAGTGCTTCACAGAATATATTGTAAAGTGGAGTCACTGTTTATTTTGTGAGCGAAACACAGCAGCCAATTGCACACAATAATGTCACACAAACAGTCGTGGATTGAGTGACCTAAATTAAAAAAAAATTGAGGATTTATTATCCCCGGAAAGCGATCCACCAAGACAGAGGGAGATGGAGTTATCACAGCAACTCTTCATTGCAGTGTAGTCTTTGTACAGAGGTTGTTAATATTCATTGGTGTAAAGAAACTAACTCAGAGCAGTGACCAACATAAATAAGAGCTGATGTTAATTATAATAAATAATGCGGTCACTCAATTCACCACTGCAATCATTTGACACTGCTGTGTGCAATTGTCTGCCGCGTTTCACTCACAAAAAAAACAGTGAATTAACTCGCTTAACAGTATATTCCCTGAAGCGCTTTGTGACATCTCAACAACCTGATAAGGCGCTATATCAAATGCGAGGACTATTATAGGATATTTAGAAAGCTGATGTACCCCAAAGGAAAGAAAAGAGGCAAATAAAGAAAGAAATGGAAAGAGTTTTGGCTAAAAGTTGGTTTTGTTGGTTCTCCCTTTTTTGCTGTTCACTTCCCAGACCTTATTTCATTCGCTTTCTACATCTGATCATCCTTTACTTTGCAGTGACATGGCTCCCGTGCACCACCTGACTCTGTCGTTGGTTATACTGTTGGCCTTTGACATCGTCATTGCTGCCCAAACATGTGTATTCAGTGAGGAAAAGTTGACGTGCAACCACCGAGATATTAAAGAAATTCCAGAGTTCATCGCTCCCAATGTCACTGAGTTCATTGCTATTGGAACAGGAATCTCTATCATGAGAGATGGGGCTTTCAAAAACTACCCTGAATCGCTGAAGAAGATGATTTTCATGACTAGTGAACTAAATACAATAGAACCCGGTGCCCTACATACACTCACCCACCTGACAGATCTTGAGATCTCAGGGAATCGATTGGAAACATTAAGTCTGGGTACTTTTGATCGTCTCTTGCAATTGAAAATCCTTTACCTGGACACCAACCGGCTTGGTAGTCTCAAGAAAGGGCTATTTGACCCACTCATCAATTTGGAAGTACTGCGGTTGTTTTACAATCAGATAGAGGCTCTTCCCGATGGGATATTCGACAAACTCAGGAAACTTCAAATGCTGCACTTGGCAGGAAATCGGATCAAGTATCTTTCTCGGGGGATATTTCAAAACCTCTTGGAGCTGACACTCCTGAAACTGGACGAAAATCAAATCATCGATCTTCCCGAGGATATCTTTGACAACCTTACCAATCTAACCACTCTGTCTTTGGGGAAAAATGAAATCAAGCGCCTCCCACCTAAACTGTTTTCCAAACTTCTGAAGTTAAAGAAACTTTCCCTGGAGGGCAACTTAATTACTGAGCTCCCGTTTGGAATATTCCACAATTTGACCCAAATCAGCCATTTGAAACTCGAAGACAACCAACTCTTGCGACTGCCTGTGAACGTATTTGGGCTGATGCCAAAAGTTACCGATCTTTCACTGAGGAAAAACAACCTCTCCACCGTTCCTGATTATGTCTTCAGCAGCCTGCCAGGTTTGAGTAAACTCTCGCTGACTAAAAACCAAATTACTGTTCTCCCAAGGCATGCCTTCAGTGGCCTCCCAAAGCTGACAACTCTTGACTTAGCAGACAATCGACTGTCTTCCTTAGACAGAGACATCTTTGAAAATTTAACCAAGCTGAGAAGAATGAATCTTTCCAAGAACCAGTTGCGTAATGTACCCGCTGGGGCATTTGAATCTCTCCGCTCTCTGGCACCCTCAGGGCTTAATCTTCTGGACAACCCCTGGCATTGCGACTGTCGATTGAAGCCCCTCAAAAATTGGATTTTGAATAATTTCAAAAAGGTGAAAACGTACAGGAATATTTCCTGCCATAGTCCCAGCCATTTGTCTGGGCAGAACATTTTCTTTTTAGGAGACGACGCATTCATATGTTTGACAACTCCAGATGTTTCTACTGCATCGACCACACTGGTGACTACTCCTGTTACCACATACACAACAGAGGTAACTACTGAACAGACAACAACTCCAGATGTTTCTACTACACTGACCACTCTGTTGTCTACTCCTGTTACCACATACACAGCAGAGGTAACTACTGAACAGACAACAACTCCAGATGTTTCTACTACATTGACCACTCTGTTGTCTACTCCTGTTACCACATACATAACAGAGGTAACTACTGAACAGACAACAACTCCAGATGTTTCTACTACATTGACCACTCTGTTGTCTACTCCTGTTACCACATACATAACAGAGGTAACTACTGAACAGACAACAACTCCAGATGTCTCAACTACTATGTGGACCTCCTTGGTATCTACTCCTGTTACAACATACACAACAGAGGTAACTACTGAACAGACAACTCCAGATGTTTCTACTGCATCGACCACACTGGTGACTACTCCTGTTACCACATACACAACAGAGGTAACTACTGAACAGACAACAACTCCAGATGTTTCTACTACACTGACCACTCTGTTGTCTACTCCTGTTACCACATACACAGCAGAGGTAACTACTGAACAGACAACAACTACAGATGTTTCTACTGCATTGACCACTCTGTTGTCTACTCCTGTTACCACATACATAACAGAGGTAACTACTGAACAGACAACAACTCCAGATGTCTCAACTACTATGTGGACCTCCTTGGCCTCCTTGGTATCTACTCCTGTTACAACATACACAACAGAGGCAACTACTGAACAAACCACAACTCCAGATGTTTCTACTGCATCGACCACACTGGTGACTACTCCTGTTACCACATACACAACAGAGGTAACTACTGAACATTCAACAACTCCAGATGTTTCTACTGCATTGACCACACTGGTGACTACTCCTGTTACCACATACACAACAGAGGTAACTACTGAACAGACAACAACTCCAGATGTCTCAACTACTATGTGGACCTCCTTGGCCTCCTTGGTATCTACTCCTGTTACAACATACACAACAGAGGCAACTACTGAACAAACCACAACTCCAGATGTTTCTACTGCATCGACCACACTGGTGACTACTGTTACCACATACACAGCAGAGGTAACTACTGAACAGACAACAACTCCAGATGTTTCTACTACATTGACCACTCTGTTGTCTACTCCTGTTACCACATACATAACAGAGGTAACTACTGAACAGACAACAACTCCAGATGTCTCAACTACTATGTGGACCTCCTTGGTATCTACTCCTGTTACAACATACACAACAGAGGCAACTACTGAACAAACCACAACTCCAGATGTTTCTACTTCTGCTACGGAGATATTTTATCGTTCAACAGAATCGGATATTTTTACAACGCAATGGGCATCGACAATATCGTCGACATCACCTCTGGAAGCGCAGACGACCCTTACGTCGATGCAGGCAATCCCCACCTCTACTCCAGGCTTCAGCTCAAGCCTCATAACATCCGCTGAGCCTAACGCATCCTTCCAATTTCATAAGGAAGAAATTGCAGTGTCCCATAAAGGGGTGTCCTGTGAGCTGTTGGCTGTGCTCCTGGTGCTGCTGTTAACATTTCAGATCTTCTTAACTTTCATCCTTCTGTGGTTCGTGTTCAGCGCTTACATTTCAGTCTACTATGGGAACCAAAGACCACTCATGAAGCTGATTCGGTATTCAAGGATAAGATGAATGATTTTGAATTATCGTGGGATATTGCACACGCTTATTAGAGCTTCCTGTGATGCGCATCAAGTCGATGTGCGGATAGTTGGCGTCTGGATGTCAGTATATTCTGTGAACAACGTAATAAGGTGCTATATTTTCGCCTCAAAAGCGAGAGACCTGGGTTTGATTCCCGGCAAGGTGAACCATTGGGCAATTGTCCTTACTCCATCTGCCTCTGTTTACTTAGCAGTAAGTAGGAACCCGGTTGTTATTCGATTGGTGGATTGTTTTTCCTGGGGTAGTAATTCCTTTTTAAAAAAATTGTCACTCAATCCATGACTCTTTGTGGGACGCTGCTGTGTGCAATTTTGCCCACAAAATATAAGGTAATTCACTTTACAGTATATTCTGTGAAGCCCTTTGGTACATCTCGAACATGTGATAAGGGGCTATATCAAATGCAAGGATTATTATTAATAGTCGCACCAATGATTATAGGAACTATGTCTTGTATTGCCACATGAATCCACTTTCAATTATTATTTTTATTATTATTATCATTATTAAAACAGGGGCGCGAAATGCATAGCTATGGGAAGTTCAGTCAATGCTTTTGCCCCCAGCAGAGAGGATAATGCTTTTACTTTTTCAGCAATTCATAGTTCTGGAGTGTGAATTGTTTCTGTCTATGTCAGGGGCATCCACTTGTTGAGAGCTATATTACTTTTTCTGCCATCTTTGTGGACTGGAAACCACATGGAGCTTTCTACACCTGCGCTGCTTTATTGAGTGTTTTATGCCCCTCAGATTCTCACATAATGTAACACTGTAATGGCTAAAGGCTTTATATGTATATATATACAAGCCTTGCATTATCAACAACCCTGTACATTAATGACATACAGACACCTGCAATCTGCATTCAATATTCGCTTGGCTTTGCTACTGAATTGTAATTTAACGGCCTCAAATTTCTGCCGTCACCGCCATCAGCATCAGCCACGACTTGAACAATTGTTCCCGCGCCTCTTATCGTCTCGATTTGTCGAAATTCTTCGCTAGTGACGACCGCCGAGTGTAGTGACTGGTTTCCTGTTGGCAAAATGTGTAGCCACTCTGCACACTGCAAAATCACACACGCAAGGCGTGAGGAAAAGGATCAACTTATCTGGACGATTGCTGTTTTGGGGCGCAGGGAAAAGCTCCCTGCTCTTTCGTTACCTGCAGAACAGGCAGATGGCATTTGGTGTTCATTGCCTCTGTTAGAAGACAGCACCTCTGACAGCGTGCCCCCCCCCACCCCCACCCCCAAGTGCCAGCATGGAGCGTGAGCTCAAAGTTTTGCTCAGAAAATATACAGTCAATTCACTAGATTCACAGTGAATCCTGCTTTGAGACGTCTCAACGACATGATAAGATGCTATATCAAATGCAAGGATTATTATTACATATTAAAGTCCGGATTTGTGCGGTTTAAACCCCAAAACAATGCAAAGTGCCCAAAGAGCACCAATTCAGTACAAACACTAAATGTGCGATCTGTTTTCATGAAGGAGTTAAGTGGGACTCAATTATCTGTACAGCTGTAAATCCTATTTAAACTGACTTCTCTTGTTTTTAAATCTGTTTTGGAAGGCCTAAGAAGTGCTTCTTATTTGCTCTGGCAATAAACAAAACAATCGAGAGAGTTTATTAACGAGGAATGTTGCCGAGGTTTTTTTTATTGCTGAATGAACGTTGTGCACAGGCAATGTAATTTGCTTTACTTTCTTTATCTCCGCGCTCCCTGCTATCGAAACGAACTTCAAGAGATGAGGTTAAAAGTTAAAAGCAACGCTGAGGCAGGCTTGCTCACTGCCTTACAGAGCCAGGTGACCTCATTTAGATTCTACGCTCTGATTAACACAACCTGTCTGTTTACTGCTGCCGGACTGCCTCTCTCTGTCATTCATTGTAGCGGAACTCAGCCCAGAGGAAATTCTGAAGATAGTCAAGTTAGTGTCTCAATTACTCTCTCAATGAGCGCTGTTTTTACAGATGCTTAGCGCCCAAACGTGCTTAATTAACCGCAACGGAGCCAGAGAATGGCCGAGATTGTCTTTCTGTCGTCGCAGTTTATTGAACGCCCGCCGACGTCAAGACACCTCTTGTCATCTCCTCTGAATTTTATGCTCAGCGAGTTGCTGAGCTCTGTGATGTGCTGACAGACAGTAACAAGGCAACCGCTGAAAAGCCAAACAAATTATTGGGGATCAATAACAATTAACACAAGGGAAGGGTGGGGGTGGGGGGGAGAGGAACCTTCAATGTAAATTGAAGGGAAACCAAGAAATGTAGATTACCTCTCTGGTTTTATTTCTGGATTTGTTTTTCGCGTATACTTTTCAAGCACTGAACTTTTGGAGGGAACCGGGATTTGTGGTGTCCTGTACCGTAGAGGTTATCACGCTCGCAGTCAGCACTGCGACCTCCTTGGAGCTGAGCTGCCTCTAAGGTGACATGTTTGACAACAGAATATCAGAATCGAGTTAACCCTCCGTGGTGGTCAATAACCTGATTGCTGAGCCAGACGAGCCCGCAATACTCCAGGCCACTGCTGATGACAGACCAGCCAGCCTGGCCATACCTGCAGGACTTGGGGCAGGAACGCTTCCCACACAGCTCCTGTTAACCTACAAGCCAAGGCTCTAACAAACAGGTAGGGTTGTCCTCGCAGGACAAGCAGCAGGAAAGGTTGCCAGAGGTTGCTCTCATTGGTGAGCAATGTGCAAAAGCTAAAAAGCTGGGTGAACTCCAGTAGCACCCCAATGCACTCTCTTGGGGTCCCCAAGCCTTGGCTCTTGCACCCTATGCCTAATACTCACTGGAATTAGGTAAGCAAGGTATATCCCTCCAGGAAGAGAATGCACATTGCATTCCAGATGCAAGGAACTTTTTATGCGTAGGTGGTATCTATATGTGGAACTGTCAGTCTGATTTGGATAGTCTTAAACACAAAAATGGAGCTTCAAACACCTGGCTTTACCTCAAAACATTATGCTTACTGCTTTGGCCACTGAGTGGTGCTGTGGTACAATGTTTCAACTCAGACTAATACAGAACTCAAATACTTTCAATAAACCAGAGCTAAAGCCAAGCCTTTGTATTAAATGTGAAAACCTTCTCCAATATGTACACTGGATCACGGCTGTTTGGGGGAATCGTCACTGCCATAAAGCAATTGCTGCCAAACAAAAACAGTCACTACACTTGCCAATCATTTAGTCGATTGGCAGATCGCTTTTCCGGGGTAATAATCTCTTCCAAAAAAAATAATAATTTGGGCACTCAAATCAATGACTGTTTGTGGGACGCTGTTGTATGCAATTGCTTCCGCTTTTCACCCATTAAATATATAGTCAATTCACTTTACAGCAGTAGCAAAAACTGATGAGTGTTTATAATAATAATCCTTGCATTTGGTATAGCCCTTTATCATGTCTTCAAGACGTCTCGAAGCGCATCACAGAATATATTGTAAAGTGAATTGACAGTATATCTTGTGAAGCGCTTTGAGACGTCTCAAAGACCTGATAAGGTTCTAATATTTACTTGTAACGTGCTTAAGACATTTTATGTTAAAAGGTGCCGTAAAAATTATTTCGCTTTAATAATATGTACCAGCGTGGATATTGTGATAAATGCAGCCGCCAGTTATAGCAATAATGTGCCTGTTATCGCCGTAAATGTGTGAAACCACAGAATACTTCGGAGAACTGTTTGCTAGCTTAGTCCTCTAGGTGTCTCTCTATCTCCATCACCGCAGAGTTTTGTACCATAGCCAAGTTAATAATAATAATCCTGCCGTGATGTCGAGATATCTTAAAAATAACTGCTGAGTGAAAAGTCTCACAAACAGCTGTAAATTCACCTCAGGGATTTGCTAGCTAGGACCCCGGCAGAAACCCCTTTTTTTTTAACAGCGTTGCAGAATCTTAAACATTTCCACCCAAACAGGCACAGATGGGAACTTGATTTGGGGTCTCACCTCTGTTAGTGCAATCCTCCCTCTAACACGGAACTGGAGCATCGAGCTAGACTGTGAGCTCACACCAGATACCTCTGACTCAATGGTGAGAGCACTATATTGTACAGAGTGGCCTCCAACAAAACAAATGTTTGGGTAAATTTCACCACCTTCATTTTGGAGCTAACCAATGTAACTTTGCAAAGGCCACACGCACACTCACATACACGTGCATACTCACACATGCATACACACGCTCACACACACATACACATGCTCACTCACATGCACACACGTACCCACAGCCACAAACGCACACACATGTGTACGGACGCACATTCACCTGCACACACCAGTGACTTACGCAGCTCAAATTCCTGGCAGGGCAAAATGTTGGGCCTCTATTTACCAAGCAGAAAGTGTTAGTCACTCGGGTATTAGGAGATTGGCGGATCACTTTTCCGGGGGTAATAATCCCTTCAAAAAATAGTAATAATAATTTGGTCACTCAATCCATGACTGTTTGTTGGACACTGCTATGAGCAATTGGCGGCTGCGTTTATACAGTCGCTACACTTTACAGTATATTCTGTGAAGCGTCTTGAGACGTCTCGACGATGTGATAAGGCATTATATCAAATGCAAGGATTATTATTATTATTATTGTTTTAGAATCCTCTGCTCTTGTCTTGGTCAAACCAAACCAAGTTGTTTAGCTCATATCTGTGCATGTGCGGATCTTGTGGTGGGCAAACTATCAACTAACAATCCTTACATTTGACACAGCGTCGGGAGGACATCTCAAAGCGCTTCACAGCGCAGGACAGACACAGCTGTGTCGTGCAGTTGCTGTGCGCTTTGCGGGCGAACGCAACAGCTATTGCGGACACAGCAAAAGTCCCGTGTTATTGGATGTTAGAGGTTGTAATCCTGCGAGACGCTACAGACAAAAAAAAACACCCGTTCTGTGTTTCAACAAAATTTTTCAGATCCGTGAAAGAATCAAAAAAATAAACTCAAACCCTCTGTTCCCATCTGTTGAACCTGTTTTCCCAGTGCTCGGCTGCCAAAACTTTTACGAAAGACCTCCTTTTGCTTCGGTCACTCTTTAAATTTCCTACTTGTTTGTCAGACCCTTCGACTGTTGAAAGAACAAAGTATTGTGTTTTACGAAGCCCGGTATTCTCATAAAGTGGAAGGTATTTGGGAGGAATGTTGGTGAGTGCACTTTGGTTACACTACACAAAACGTTCTGT